TTAATTTTCCTGTGGTGTCCATTATGCCGTCATAGATTTCATGACATATCAGTCTAATGTTATCTTGGATATTTGTGGTTAAGTTATTCAGTATTCAATTTTGGGATATCTCTAACGAATTTTCTGTATTTAAAAAAATAGTTTTCATATCAACGGAATCTCGTGGAAAATTATGTGTACTCAAATGTAGTTCATCAAATATTAAAACACATATATTCTTAATATTTATCAGTAATGAGTTTCATATACAATTTATATATAGATAATAATACATTTCTTGTAGGGTTAAATATCTTGTGTATAGTTTTATTTCTTAATAACATTAATATATGTTTTTATAAGCAAGACTTATCTCTTTAGCTGTTTTACGTTTCTTTTCGTACAGTATATTTCAAACTTTTATTAATGTTGTATCAACTTAACATCCCACATCAACTGCTGTAGAAAAAGGAAAAAAGATAATGGTGTTTGCTTTTTCAACCATGCATCGACCTAATTTTTTTTTAATTCTCGAGACTAGTTCCTGAAATGAAGGCATTCTTCACGGTTTTTAACTCTATCTTTATAAGGTTTACTTGTAGATCAAGTGTGATCGGATATTTCATAAATCTATCGACTCCGATATGTATAATGCCTTATTGCAATATTGTTTGTAAACATGCTTCACTAAAAATAAAAATCGTTATCGTTATTGTTAATAAACGTTGTATTTGTCTTGTGATAAATGTTCAAAAGCTTTGATTCTAATTTTATGGTCTGTCTAGACCATCAGCTGTTTGCCATCTCTCAGTCAAGATTTCGTTCTGATATGAGCACTACCAAGCAGAAGCCATTATAGACATGTAATCGATTTCGTAATATTCATTTTGATATCATTTAATCATGAAATACCATTCCACCAATAACATTTTCAACATATGAGACAGTAATACGGACACAGGAAATGGATATGGTAAAACGGAAACGACTGATTGGCTTCCTGTCAACCCACACATATTCCGGACGGCTACTTTGTGTATTGAAAATGATATATCAAGGAACCACTGCCATAATGGATTCCATGCAATTGTGTTGTGCGACAAGTGGGAGTTTTTTTTAATTTTATTAATTAATTTTTTTTATTTTACATTTACTTTACATGATGTCGCTTAATTGTGATTGTGTTGATAAAGTTTTTTATTGTCATTCTTTTATGTCTATATTTTCATGCAACAGTGTAAAAATGTCATTATTTACTAATGAATCGGAAATTAATTTAGATAAATGTTTCCAAAATTATACATTCATAAAAAAATGACGATAAAAATTATAAATACAACAGACGATATTGTGTTTTATCGGTACATCGGAGGAGAATTAATATGTCTGTTTTAACTGTGAAGAATGCAGCTAATAATTAACGTCCCTGTCATTGTCCTTTCTGCCTTTCTTATCGATTCGATCTTTTTTGTTTTGTTTTACTTTTCCTATTGTTGGTGTCTCCCTAGATACCCGTCCTTATATAACCTGGCTGTTGGTGTCTCCCTAGATACCCGTCCTTATATAACCTGGCTGTTGGTGTCTCCCTATACATCCGTCCTTATATAACCCTGGCCGTTGGTGTCTCCCTATACACCCGTCCTTACATAACCCTGGCTGTTGGTGTCTCCCTATACACCCGTCCTTACATAACCCTGGCTGTTGGTGTCTCCCTAAACATCCGTCCTTATATAACTCTGGCTGTTGGTATCTCCCTAGTTATATAACCCTGGCTGTTGGTGTCTCCCTAGTTATATAACCCTGGCCGTTGGTGTCTCCCTAGATATCCGTCCTTACATAACCCTGGCTGTTGGTATCTCCCTAGACATCCGTCCTTATATAACCCTGGCCGTTGGTGTCTCCCTATACACCCGTCCTTACATAACCCTGGCTGTTGGTGTCTCCCTAAACATCCGTCCTTATATAACCCTGGCTGTTGGTATCTCCCTAGTTATATAACCCTGGCTGTTGGTGTCTCCCTAGTTATATAACCCTGGCCGTTGGTGTCTCCCTAGATAGCCGTCCTTACATAACCCTGGCTGTTGGTATCTCCCTAGACACCCGTCCTTATATAACCCTTGCTGTTGGTGTCTCCCTAGATACCCATCCTTATATAAACCTGGCTGTTGGTGTCTCCCTATACACCCGTCCTTATATACCCCTTGCTGTTGGTGTCTCCCTAGATACCCGTCCTTATATAAACCTGGCCGTTGGTGTCTCCCTAGACACTCGTCCTCATATAACCCTGGTTGTTGGTATCTTCCTAGACACCCGTCCTTATATAACCCTGGCTGTTGGTGTCTCCCTAGATACCCGTCCTTATATAAACTTGGCTGTTGGTGTCTCCCTAGATACCCGTCCTCATATGACCCTGGCTGTTGGTGTCCCCAACCCCCAACACCCATCCTCATATAAATCTGGCTTCTTAAACATTCGTTCTAATATCTTCCAAACTTTTGGTGTCTTCTTTAAAACCCATCCTCTTAATATGATTTCGAGTATCCGTGTCTCCTTTTACACCCGTTCTCTTACAACAAAATTACCAAATATCAAATCAAATAGAGTTATGATCTTTTTTTCACTTTTGTTCTCTGTTGCTCAAAGATCTAATAACATCTGTGTTCAATCTTTCGGAAAGCAACGTAATTATAAAGAGGAAAATAATTGGGATTCATATTTCATATAATTGAACTACCCCAGCAGTTGATTTCTCCACGGTCGTTTGTTTTACATCTTGCCATTGTACCATTTACAAAGGTTCTACCTTCTATGGCCTCCAACCCCTCAGGAGGTTTTCCTGTGCCGTGCTTTTGTTTGCCCTGTTCTTGTTTTGTAGCACAGCTGTTTTTGTTTGGGTTGTTTTTTTGTGAAAAAGGCCTCACTCTTGTTGAAGATTCCGGTGTTGATATTTCATTTCCTTAAGGCCTCATTACTTCACGTTCTGCCTCGGGTTTAGCTATTGTGACCATTGATTTTTCTGTTTTCTTGTGGTTTTTTTTTTTTTTTTTTTTTTTGGGGGGGGGGGGGGGGGTGATTTTTGGTGATTTTTTTTATTATTATTTTGCTTTTTAGTGGGTGTTTTTTTTTTGTCAGTTCTGTGTTTCCCTCGTGTCATGTTCCCTTTAAGTTTCTTTCTTATATATAGTCACCGTATTGTAATTACTCCGCCTTCCATTTACATAGAATTGTAAAAATATCCCTAAGTGTAAAATAATTGAATCTTTCACCCCTTGTAGTTAAGATAGGTGTATCTCAATCCAAGTGGAAAGATGATTAACACGAGGCCTGGAACTTAAACATCTTTTCCCGACGGTTGAGAGACCATCAAAAACCTAGAAGGGGGTAAACGATTGTTTTTCTCCTACCATGCTGGATTTATTTTGTACTCGTATGTGTTTTTGTTGTCCTAATGCTTTGCATCGTTGACATGATTTAAGAGTTTACGCGACGTCGGTGAATGGTTACTGTGACGTCATATCATTGTCGTAACACGGGAATCCCCCGTCATAATCCTAGGATGAGACAAGGAAATCTCACACTGGTAAAAAGCACGGATATTACCTGTCCAGGTTAAAAATTGTTAAGACTCGAATAATATGTCAACATGGCAACATGATTCATTTACAAATCAGGAAGATTTTTACATATTGATAACTTGCGTCCCTTCGTAACGACAGTGCAAACATTCATCGATAAGAAAACTCGTTCTATTATGAATTAGATTTTAATAACATGATATACAATTTGTGATTTTAGGCCCTTTAAAATATATACATATTAAGATGACAAACGGAAACATGTGATAGTTGTAACTGAATAAAAATACACTATAGAAAATATATAAATAAAGTATAGGTGAGGTGCCCACAACAAGACCTCTCACTAACAAACGTCCGTGTCCGTTTGCAAAAATACATCAAACCCTTTATAAAGCGACCACCTTTGGCATATCTAGGTATATATATCACAGATGGTCTCTTTCTAAGGGTTGGAGTGAATCTGACTCTCTACCAGAGAAACTGTTTTTACGTCACCAGTTTTAAAACAAACATTTGTCTATAAATGTCTCTAATATCTGGTCCCAATGTAATTGAACCTCCCTATATACCCTCCCCCTCCCCCGCATTTCTGAATGAACATGTCTTGATTAAAGTGAACTTTAAAGCAGATCTCGACCTCATATAACTCGAAGACATCGTTTAATTCGAAGTATTTTGTCGGAACCGGTCACACTTCAAAACAAACATTCGAGATCACAAAAACTGGACACTCAGGTAGTTCAAAGTTTTCGTTAAAGCACAACACTGACGGTCAGTTTTGATTATTACTCTGTCTTGAGAGACAAGCTTACGTGTCCTGTTCTGCTTCGCAGCTGAAGCATACCATTACTCACATTTGTAAAAAGTAATGCAATTTTTTGATGATATACCATATAATTTTCAATTTTCTGTTGTAATTATCGTTTGTAGGTTGTAAGACATTTAATTAAAGTCCAGTACCTTAATTTAGAAATATAAGAATATCAAATATCTTTTTTATTTGAAATTTGAATTTCAGTCACGCAAGTTATTTTCAAAAAATGCAATAAACCATTACGTAATGTGAAATTCATTTTTAGCATAACATAATTCAATGTCTTTGGACAATACTTTAAAACTGCATTTTGATTCTGTCTTCGTTAATTGGTATATATGACGTCACGTCACTGTTGTCGCTCTGTTTTGACGTCAAAGATGAATAGCCAATGAAATCACAGCCAAGTGTAATACCACATATGGTAATCGAATGCCTCTTTTTGTTATTCAAATTGCTCAAAGTGATAAAGCAGGTATATGGTGTGGTGAAATCAGTCCTTTATCAACGATGTCATCCATACTTTTTTTTTAAATAAGTAAAAATTCAAATACGTCATCAAAAAAAATGCTTTAAATTTTCTCTCAGAAAACCTATCGTAGTTGTGACCTAACAATTCATTTGTCCTTTTAATCAAATTCAGTGCCGTCGGCCTTTTTGCCCTTCTCCAGATTCTTCACGTTCACCCCTGCGTCCTTGAGGAATCGCTTCGTTTGTTGTGTTAGCAGCCACATGAGGGCGTTCATCAGGGAGAAAAACCCCGCTATAAGGACCATCCAGAATGCGTAACCAACCTTATCTGGGTCTTTGATCCCGTAAATCATTGTGCCCAGGAATATCAAACCGCCTGCAAAATAAAGGATAAGAAGTCCAAAAGTTTAATATATTATTGTCAATAAATACATATGTATTTCATAAATTTGATACGTGCAAGTCACCAAGAATGGTTTCATGAATATTTATTTGTGGCGTGAATGTATAGCCGGTCAGGTCGCGCGAATGATATTTTCGGGATTTCGTCACGTATTGACAGATAATTTCATCCGTGAAATAACCTACAATTAACAACTGTTGTCATACGGGAACCATCACTGGACGACTCTCTCTAATTATCCAACGGTGTTTAATCAATCGCAATTAAGTGTTCTTTGATGCAGATTATTTCTCTCGATACTCCAGGATTTACAATCACTTTCGCTCTCTGTACCCCTGGAACCATCTTCAATACTCCGCGGGTTACGATCACTCTCGCTCTCTGTACCCCTGGAACTATCCTCGATACTCCAGGATTTACAATCACTTTCTCTCTCTGTACCCCTGGAACCATCCTCGATACTCCAGGATTTACAATCACTTTCGCTCTCTGTACCCCTGGAACCATCCTCAGTACTTCAGGATTTACAATCACTTTCTCTCTCTGTACCCCTGGAACCATCCTCGATACTCCAGGATTTACAATCACTTTCGCTCTCTGTACCCCTGGAACCATCCTCGATACTCCAGGATTTACAATCACTTTCGCTCTCTGTATACTTCAGGATTAACAATCACTTTCGCTCTCTGTACCTCTGGAACCATCCTGGATATTCCAAGGGTTCCGATCACTTTCGCTCTCTGTACCCCTGGAACCATCCTCGATACTTCAGGATCAACAATCACTTTCGCTCTCTGTACCCCTGGAACCATCCTCGATACTCCAGGATTTACAATCACTTTCGCTCTCTGTACCCCTGGAACCATCCTCGATACTCCTGGATTTACAATCACTTTCTCTCTCTGTACCTCTGGAACCATCCTGGATATTCCAAGGGTTCCGATCACTTTCGCTCTCTGTACCCCTGGAACCATCCTCGATACTTCAGGATCAACAATCACTTTCGCTCTCTGCACCCTTGGAGCCATGCTCGATACTTCAGGATAAACAATCACTTTCGCTCTCTGTACCCCTGGAACCATCCTCGATACTCCAGGATTTACAATCACTTTCTCTCTCTGTACCCCTGGAACCATCCTCAGTACTTCAGGGGTTCCGATCACTTTCGCTCTCTGTACCCCTGGAACCATCCTCGATACTCCAGGATTTACAATCACTTTCGCTCTCTGTACCCCTGGAACCATCCTCGATACTCCAGGATTTACAATCACTTTCGCTCTCTGTACCCCTGGAACCATCCTCAATACTCCAGGGGTTACTATCACTTTCTCTCTCTGTACTCATAGAACCATCTTAGATACTCCAGGGTTTCCGATCACTTTCACTCTGTACCCCTGGAACCATCCTCGATACTTCAGGATCAACAATCACTTTCGCTCTCTGCACCCTTGGAGCCATGCTCGATACTTCAGGATAAACAAACACTTTCGCTCTCTGTACCCCTGGAACCATCCTCGATACTCCAGGATTTACAATCACTTTCTCTCTCTGTACCCCTGGAAGCATCCTCAGTACTTCAGGGGTTCCGATCACTTTCGCTCTCTGTACCCCTGGAACCATCCTCGATACTCCAGGATTTACAATCACTTTCGCTCTCTGTACCCCTGGAACCATCCTCAATACTCCAGGGGTTACTATCACTTTCTCTCTCTGTACTCATAGAACCATCTTCGATACTCCAGGGTTTCCGATCACTTTCACTCTGTACCCCTGGAACCATCCTCGATACTCCAGGATTTACAGTCACTTTCGCTCTCTGTACCCCTGGAACCATCCTCAGTACTTCAGGGGTTCCGATCGCTTTCGCTCTCTGTACCCCTGGAACCATCCTCGATACTCCAGGATTTACAATCACTTTCGCTCTCTGTACCCCTGGAACCATCCTCGATACTCCAGGATTTACAATCACTTTCGCTCTCTGTACCCCTGGAACCATCTTCGATACTCCAGGGGTTACAATCAATTTCGCTCCCTACACCTCTTGAACCTTCCATGATACTCCAGGATTTTCAATCACTTTCGCTCTCCACGCCCTTGGAGCCATCCTCGTTACTCAATTGATAACAATCACTTTCGTTCTGCAGGCCTGGAACATGTCATGGCAAAATTGAAGGTTCAACGTGGGACACCTCGGGAACACAATCGAAAAATTAGCTTTATCTTTTGCTGTACATGTCACGAAGCTCGAGGTCGCATTACAGTATATTGAAATGACTTTGAAGTTGAGAGTTGATCATTTATAAGTTCAAATGTAGCGAATCAGCCTGTGATTGGTCAGATTGTTTACCTGGAACCAATCAAATTACTTCGCAAGTGCCTTCCATTTTGCCACGTAATGTTGCAGATCGTAACCCCTGGTGTATAGAAGTTGGAAGCATAGTGGTGTTTGAATCATATATTTGAAACTTAATATCGGAAGGGATATTCGCGAAAATTATTTATATCATCGTATATCTAGATCGCGAAATTCTGATTAATCAAAATTCAAAATTATATCATTTTCGATTTCAATGAAAATGGTGACAATTTTGTTTCACGATAACCGGCTACCCGTTGCTTTGGTGATGTAATCCAATTTTGGCAGATAGAGTCCGTGATCCTTCATCCAACCTTTCGTTAGCAATCCATCTTATAGCTGCTTTTTTAAAGTGTGAGATATATTTCCCCAACTCTATTCTGTCCATTATTGGGCGTATTTAATCCATTCAGTTAAATAGTATGAAATATTCATATGATTCTCTAAGCATTTTATCACGTGGTCTTTTAGAAAGGCAGAAAAAGTGAAATATGAATGTTTTCAGTAACAAACAACGGTGATTTTGTAAGGTGATTAACACCGGAGTAAGAAATATAATTATAAAATACACAATAAAGACAAGAAAACTAACTAACGACCGTCATGATATACATGTGTCACGATAAACACGCTAAATACTGCAAACATAAATATATTAGCGGTGACCTTATTTCAGCGTTTTTCGCACTGAGAGTACAGCGCTAAAAAACAGGACGAAGAAGAGCAACAACAACAACAACAACACCAGAGAGAAAACAGGAAGAAAAAATATTTTATGAAGTAAGCATCCCGACACTTACATGATACGAAATGGGTGATGACCTTCATATGGTAACACACACAATTACAGGAGACGTTGGTCCGCAGCGTAGTACACACGAGGATCGCGTCAAACACTCCCATTGTAAATTGGGCGCAAGTCGCAATAACGAACATCGAATAGGCCGCCTTCAGGCCACATGCTGCAATAAAAACATTTATATAAATATCGGTGTGGGCGGAGTTCGTATGTCGAATGATAAACAGATACACCATAGAAATTCTTTGGAAATTTGTTGATAATTTCTTAAGGTCTTTACTCTGGAGTCTTCGGTCTACTACATATATTTTAACAATATTCTATTTTACAGTGGAATATGATGGATGTTTGATTTTCGTTAGTTCGCTCGTTGGCTCTGTATGCCTTATTCTCATTTGAGAGGCTGGCATACATTGACCAAGATTTATATGCTGAGTGTCGCCGATGAAGTAGACGACGCTTACTCTTCACGAACACATGGTCTTATTCTCCTTGCACTGTTTTAGGCGTCTTATTGTAAATAATTCTTTTGTTCATAGATTGCCTTAGTTTTATTGAATTTAGGTTTGGTCAACGCTTCTGTTGACATGTCGGTTTTTCTTGTTCTTTTCGAAATCCGTACTACCGTGAGTTCCCAATTGGTTTTCACATACATTTTGTACTATACCTATAATATCTGATCGAATTGTACAACAACAAACACATACAGGTACACCTTAATTTATTTACATGACGACTCTGAACAGTGGCCTCGTTATTAGTATTTCCCAGGAAATGCAATGCTTACTTAATTATTTTCATACATATATCCTGCTAGCCAATAAGCTACTGGACGCATCTGATCCTCGTTACCTTGCAAGCTGGTTCTGTTGTTGTTTACCTTGTTCTCATTCGGGAAAGTAACATTACTTACTTGGATTGACCAACATTTACATGGCGAATGACGTCGATGATGCTGAAGACGCCTACTCTTCCGGTTTAATTTGTTTTCTTGAGACAAATTTCAGAAATCTACATCTTGCATCGTCAACAAGATTCCCGTAACAATCGTTTCTGTGGTTATCAGCAGAGAACAAAGAGCTAATAATATTAAACGGATATGCGAATTTCCATTTCTCTTGAAATAAATGTCGCGTAATGATTTGAGACTTGTAAAAAATATATTTGTGAAGTCGATCCCAGCTTTCACATCACTAAAACAACAGAAAGATACAATGTGGGTAGCTTTAGATTTTTCCATCAAATATACTTTGTCTCTTTGTAATCTATCTACTAGATTTTTCTTGTCTTTACCATAGTCCTTCTAATATCATTAATTTTTTCGATGTTTTAAATATTTTTCACAAAATATGACCAAATATACCTTTTAAACACTGTTATGGTGTTTAACCTTTCAATATTTGTAATAAAATTATCACATTATGACCAACTGATGCACCATCAACCATAACCTTTTTTGTCAAAGATTTCTGGTTGTTAATTATACAGGTATGCTAGCTCATTTCTGGAAACAGTTTCTGAAAGGAAATCAACAACATACGGCAAAGCATATTTCAGAAATGAAATGTACAGTATTATTATTTTTTATTTGTCCGTATTTTTTTGCGAATTGATAAAACCTTGAAGCAAAAATAAATTGTTCATGGTAGTCCAAAAACATAATATTGTTATTTCAACGATCTGTTATTTCTAAAAGTAAGAGTTTGATTCTATCAAAAATAACATTTAAATAAAAAGGATATAGAAGGTATACATTACAGGTGTCATTGTCCTCGAGGATGTTCTTGTAGGCCACCGCTATGGCAATATCAGCAATGGTGAGGAATATCAGGGTCACTGTCGTAAGTCCTAGACCTGTCCCCATCCGACAGTAGAACATACTTTTGCTGGCAGTGTCCGACATCTTGGTACTTTACGAAATCTCCGCAAAAATCAAACGGAAAAAAAGTTACTGAATGCAAAATGCCAACAAGTTCACAGCAAATATAATTTGTGGATATTTAAGCTTTGTAGCCGTCGGTTTCAGTCTTTCACTTAATAAAGCAACAAGTTATGTATCGTTGATAACGGAAGTTCCTGTGTAAAATCCCGTGAATCGATGCAAAATGCAGAAAACACGATCGCTTTTTCGACAGATGGTAACATCAAAGGTATCCACTTTATCAAACGGAAGTCGCTGACTAGCAAAGCTCTTTGAAAAAGTATTTATTGACTATTTAAAAAATAGCAAATGAATGTAAAAATTCTTTCACGTCAATATGCACCTTAAACCAAGGAACCTAATAAGGTACTGCGTGCATACAGATTCAGGAAATGTAAACTTTCCGCCCGACCGGAAATAACGTTAGAATGAAGAAAGTCACCCGGATGTAGCGTCAGTAGTATCTAATTTTCTTTACTGCTAATTATACTGTTAACAATTCAAGTTTCTCTGTTCGATAAAATATACTAGAATTTTTAGCAGTCGTCTTTTTATACTACAAACCACTGACAAAACTCTGGACAACAGCTTATATAGTTACCAGCGCTCGTGTGTTCTTCCCTTTAGTTCCGACGCCTCTTCCTTTCCTGATGTTGTCTTTCAGTATACTTGGTATAGTATGTAAAATATCAAATACACATTTTTTTTCAGTTAAATTCGAAGAAATAGAGAAACGTCTTTTCAGGAATTTGTGAAAGTATGAAAATAGCTTAAAACTTTTTGCGTGTCATCAGACCTGATATTAAGTGTGGTAACATGAACTATTGGTAGTTTGTTCGCGTGATCCTACATCATGTCCTTAGTCTAATTTGGTCAAAAGAATTAAAGGTGATATGGAATAAATACGATTTTCAGTAATTATGTTCCCCAACGTTTCTCTAAAATATCCGATAATATGGCTGCATTTATGTACCTCTAGCACCTGGTCGATTCTCTTGATACTTTATCAGGGTCGTGCATGCTAATTTTTTCTGTTTATATTTTGCTCTACTAAGCTCGAATTTCCTCTTGGATTCGCATTCTGTTGATATGGTGGTAGGTTTTCTTTTCAATCATAATACAATATTTCGAAGTTTGCCATCGCTTACACTGGTATTAATACAAAATGATAAAATATAGGTGTTTAGTTTATGTATCAGCCAACCCCTTCCTTCCTACACATGGTATATTGTTGACGATTCCGGTTGGCTCCGACGCACGCTGTGCCAGCAACAAATACCCATTTCCGTCTGCAAGACATGAAAGTGATTCATTCTCTGCGGCTAAACTGTTGTATAGGTCTAATACCTACATATATATATATTATGTGTATTAGGTTCCATAACAAGGATGTTGACATTTTCATATGGTGATATACATCAGTGAATTTTATATTTGCAGTCACTGTCCTAGTTAACGAAGCTCAGAAATAAGGTTTAGACTGACAGATGGAAACAAAGGAAGGCATCCGTGAGTATATTGGAATGAAATCAAAGGCCAGAACATTATATTTTGTTTTCAGTTGACTTTGTTATAATAGCTGTTTCTCAATGATATACCCATATAATTTGATATTTAGTGGGTAGTTTTACGGTAATCTGTAAATTAACTCCAATAAAAAAACAATCCATATTTAGATAGATATTAATTACCATCACAGGATTCCGTATGCTGGTATTTGTGAACTGGTACAGAACTGATCTTTTAGACTGACACGTGTTTTTGAATAAATAAGTTGTGTGATATTTAAACTGTGTATTGAATTATCTACAGACTAATTTCGACAGAAGTCCGTGTCTTTCAGACAACGCATGAGAGGCTGTAAAATTTCTAATTTGGTATCGATTCATTATCGTAGGAAGTGCTTGTATTCCTCTAATTCAATGGAGTTGAGTAATTGTTCCAGTGTCGTTTAACACTAAATGGTTAATGAAATTATACTGATGAAATACAACGCCTTCTACAAGGGGAGGGGGGGGGGACAGACACAAAAACGTCGACGTTACTTCTTATTTATTTTTTCATTTGTATTTAATTATACAATAGATTAAACGATTTTCCCATTATACAAAGTATACAGTTTTCAGGTGTCAAGTTAGGTAACTATATACAAACAAACCTCATCTGTAACTACCGATGGTGGCTATGACACGTTCTAAAAATACTAATAACACTCAAATTACATATTACTTTATTGTAATTTTGTTTATTAATGTAAATGGTTATCATTTCCGTATTTCCTGATGAATTATCTGCATCCCCATCTCACCAGAAGGTCGTTGTTAAAATATAGACCGCTTCTAGATCCAGGTATGCCGCCAATTTCTCAAAATGTAAAGCAAGGTATTGGTAATCAGATTATTGCCAAGTGAACTCGTTATTACATATTCTTCAAATTTCGTAAGATCCAACTTTTAGAATATTTTGTCCAGTTTTCTTCTTTCTTCTGATGAAATTTAGAGCAAAAATATCCGTTATTATGTATCAATAATTTCGTTTGATGTGTAGATTATGATCAAATGGCTGTATTCCGTTTCATTTTCGCCCGATTCGACTATGAAAGGAGAAGGTGAAATCAAGACGAATGCGAATTTAAGACAAAGGCGAAAATTTGCTTTACTTATATAATCCTCAGCAGGCAAAATAAACATGAAGCGAAGTCGTGAATGATGATACAAAGGCGAAAATACTCTTAGTGTGCGTATATTCCAGTATACAGTAATCCAAATACAGAAAAATGACGAAATTACTAAAAAAACGCAAGACACAGCTTTTTCACAGAACGAGTAACTGTCAGGCAAAATTAGATCACTGTTCATGTTATGTTGAAGGTTCTGTAGGACTCAAGAGGTAACATTTTCAAATATGACGGATAGAACAAGACCTGTGATATATTGTTGACATTCTTTAACACTCGGTACCAAGATTGTTTACCTGAAATGCGTTATAATGCTAATATAATTGAAAATTTTCGGCAATATATCTTCATATCACACTTCGCTGGGAGAAGAAGACTTAACATTATTGTATAACATTTCAATTACTCAGTTTGACCTTGCCGATCTTCCCCACGCTTGATAAGGGCTATTTTATGTACTATTTCTCTGCTGGTAATTGCTATTGCGTTTTGGCAATAATTGCAAGAGTTTGAAAAAACAATAAACGCTAAACATTTTAGTCAATAAACGTCATTTGGAAATTAAAGAAATGGGCACAATAGCTGTACTGACTTATTCCAATACATTTTACAATAATTTTAAATAGATACACAGAAAAATACGATGCGCTTGAATTGTATTCATTCCTGAACATGTTTTGTACATTTTCCACAGATACCAATGGAAAACAAATCTACCAGTCCCTGTGATGACCCCGAGGAACAATATCAGTATGACTGTTACCCCATTCTCACAGTAACATCGACAGAAACCGATTTACAATGCTGCTGCGGAAGAGAGGAAATATTCTCGAGGTTTTTATGCCAAAATGGCGTTGATCTACAAGACGATGACGTCATAGATGATAAAGAATATTGTGAGATGTCCATTCCAACATGCACCAGAAACCATTGGATTCCAAACGATTGTGGGAGAAATAGATTCTGGGTCACTGACCACGTGTTAGGAGACGGTAACTGTTTTTTTCGTTGTCTGAGCAAAGGGTTAACTGGTGCTGAACAGTTCCATCCTCTGTTGCGGTACAGTATAGTAGATCACATGCAGCGACACAAAGACCTCTATCGGTGTTTCATAGATGGCGATGTTGATGCACATATGGAACACATGAGAGATATCCATGGAGATGTGTTCTCCTGGGCAACAGAAGCCGAAGTCAAAGCCGCGGCTAATCTTTTAGGGTGTGACATTTACATTCAACAACAGGTTGGACGCAAAATATGCTGGTGCCTATTTAAATCTGGTGAAAAGTTTAGACAGTTTGAAAATTATTTTCTTACCATTGTATATCAAGGTCATCATTTTGACCTCGGTAGATTGATAAACCACGAATGTAATTGTCAACTGACCAGACAAGATGTAAAAAACCGGGAAATTGCGGAAGATGAAACATCTGATGCAAATAACATTCAATTATACCAGAATCATCTTATAATGTGGAATACACACAACAAACACATCAAATGCCCCTGGAATAACATATTGAAAAATGAGGACGCCTTAAGGTTATACTTAACGATTACATTACATTTACCTTCTTCTATGATGTCACTTCCGGTTTACGGCATGCATATACTTCTATACCAGGGTAACGTCAATGTATATGACATGGTACATGCGCAGATATGGAGCGTGATGTTATTGGCGGGAAATTCAATTTCGGATAAATTGGCAGGACTTTCAGCGCAGAGAGTACATAAAAGACAAAAACTCAAGAGAATTAGGAATGTATTAACTGCGCAGTCGCCACGTGATGTTATATGCATGTACAGTATATTTCTGAATTTGTGGCGTACTGTGTCAATAAAACGTAAATTTGAACTGTTTAATGCTCTACAACAAACGACAAATAATTTTAAAGATGATATATTAGTAGTAAGTTCTGAGGACCTTGTTTACATTTGACTGTGGCTTTAAATCAATGAGAACAATAATACTAAAAAACTACCAATGTCTCCATAACCAAGAATTGTTGATTTATAACAAAAATTAATTAGAAATGTATATTTTTCACTGCAGGCTTAGTTCTAAAGTGTAAAGTTCTACCACCAACCCGTGAAATGCCAGAAACATAACAAAATGATAACAAGTAAATTAAAGTCTACTTTTTTTCATAAAAAAAATTCATCGGAAACTAAATTCTTCTGTATTTACCGCTTCATATACCACATTCTAATTGTCAGGTACAGGTGTATGCAGATGAAATATACCTAAACTTCTAAAATTGTTGTAAAAGAAAAATGATATTCTTTATTTATTTTTATTTTTCTGCAATTACAACTGATCGAATTTTATTTCCTTTCCGCGTCCAGTAATTCAACATTTAGCTACACCGTTTTCATTTTTGAAATTGCATTGAAAAGTGCACGTGCTATTCACTTGTCTTTTGTAAAATGGGTTGAAAACTCCCGAAATTTCAATACAATCCTGTTAGCTTTTCACGGAGTATCCGTATATGTAGTAAATCGTGACTATTTCACTGAACAACTTACATGCACATGGGACCTGTCACGTGACCTCCACGGCCATTGGGATAAAAAACGTTTCACCTAAAAACACAACCACAACAACAACAGCTTTGTTTTTCAGCTACTCTTCCGAGAAACACGGGTAGACAGCGCCAAACAACACAACTCTGATCTTCACATGAAGTCGCGTAGGCCAACAGGAAAGATCCACAATGTATGATTCAACACAATCAATGGTGAAATTGGTGTACGACAATTGCCATTCTTGAATACCCGGTAATGAATCCACAACAATAAGTGGAGTTTTAATGACTTATTACTTCCCAATACCACAAATACTTAACGAACGTATCATGAACAGACGTTTGGAGTCAATATGAAAAACGTACGTTGACAAAACGTATCTATGAGTTTCATAAGTTGTATAGAAGTATATAGCATTTACGTATTTCTCAGTCAAAAGCATTATTTTTTTTCCGGTCGCTTCCTAGGTTTTAAAATTGAGTCTTTGGAAACAGCTGTATTTGGCTCTATTGTACCAAATTTGGAATTTGTAATCAAAGGGGTTTTTTTCATTCGCGTGTTTTTTGTTTTTGTTTTTTTGTTAATTTTTCGAGATTTTGGTCCTTATCAATGACGTGTCCTCGAAGGATGAAACAACTGTATGAGACAGCTTAATTCATTATTTTACTACTGTATCTTACTATAAATTTGGGTGAGGATTTCCACTTGTCTTTTGCACCATCTGTAGTTTTTGCTAAATGTTCGATCTATAACTTGATAGAAAGATGTTATCACTATATCATGGTGGCGGATTAGTGCAATTTTCGCTATTTCGCAGTTAAAAACGCGAAAATTAAGCATTCCATTTTCGCTTTTTCGCGTTTTTCTTACAGCACGAAAATGCGAAAAAGCGATATAGATAAAAAAACTTCGCTTTTTCGCGTTACATTTCGGCGCTTTTTCGACTTTCGTTTTGATTTGTGCATCAGTGACACAATAGAATTATCACGATTTCAGAGTACGTGTACCCAGCGAAAAAGTATTCCCGTATCAGCTAATTTCCTGCTTCAGTTAAGGAATACGGTAATTCATTGAAACTTATCATCAATGAACAAGTGAATAACTGATATTTATCAACTCACATTTACATTGATTAAGGAAACTAACTTTCTAAATTTTCACCTCAAGATATGGAACAGCAAACGGGAAGCATTATCTTCAACTTTTGCAAATGCCGAATGATATCAAATATTGTCTACCGGAAGACCAAAAAAAGACACGCGAAAAAGCGAAAAGCGCCACGCGAAAAAGCCGAAATGTAACGCTTAACGTTTTAGCTATGTCGCTTTTTCGCCCGCACTTTTTCGTCCTGTAAGAAATAAGCGAAAAAGCGAAAATGGAATGCTTAAATTTCGCTTTTTCGTGTTTTGAACTGCGAAAAAGGCACTAATCAGCCACCATACTATATCGCTTTTAATTTTCTTTATTCCTTACTCAAAGCTTTCCAGTCACCATCAGGTGATGAAATGGCGTTTTTCACGGTTAAAGGTTGAGAAGGGTACAGTATATACCCGGCTTGTCTGGTAACTCTAGGTGTGTAATACTTGAAATCAATAACTGTATCAATATTTTGCTCATAAATTTGAGAACTTGACATTACTTGTACGATATATGATTACATGGCATGTGTCTAGATAAAGCATCTTATTCACCATAAGGTCATCGATTTTAAGAGTTTATCAAGATTGTTTGGTGTCATGTTGATGTTCACGACTATGATAAACACTGCCATCTCGTTTCTTTAACTATATCCTGTACTGGTCAAATTTTCTACAGAATTGATCAGGTGATCACACCCGTGATGTAGTGCTCCATGCACTGCCTACTCAAGGTACGGCAGATCACGTATGCTGCTCACCGAATTTTGACTTTATAAAGACATTGAACCTTCTAAATTTTTAATGTCACCAAGAGACTGATATACATTTTCTACGTGGTCCAATGAATAACGATGGAGATTCTTTCGTAGTAAATATTATTCACTTTCAACGTTGTCTATCAAGCTGTTTCTAAACTCCTTGTTTTTTAAATGGCAAATTAAAAACAGAAAATAAAACACTGATAAACCTAAGGGTTTCTTTTTTATTACGAGTTGTCCGCCATTTCATACACTAGGCAAGACGCCCAAGAGGCCTGCGTCGCTCACCTGGCTAATTTCAAATATGACCAACAATTTCTGATACAATTTCCCTATTTGGTCCCGAAATTGTGGTCCAAAAAAGTCCGATACACTATTTATAAAGAGACCCATCGTTTATATAAAGAATCCCCTTTATCCAGCAATACTTCGGGCAAAAATTTGGGTAAATACAAGAACTCCTACAGGAGAAGGTATGATTCAAAGAATTGTTCTGTTAGGCCCCAGGGTGTCGAGACCCACCATTTATACAAAACTTATTTCCTTCACCCAACAATGCTTCAGAATAAATCAGGGCAAAATCCAATTAATCTTACAGGAGAAGTAGGATTTTTAAAGAATTTTGCTCAATTACCCATATTGGGTCCTGTTCCCTCAGGCCCTAGAAATCTATAATTTATGCATAACTGATTCCCCTTAATCTAACAATGCTTCAGACCAAATTTGGACAAAATCCAATCATTCCTACAAGAGGAGTAGGATATTAAAGTCTGCTCTATGATCCCTATTTAGCGTTACCCCTAAGGCCCAAGGGAGTCGAGACCTACCCCTTATACAAAATTGATTTCACTTCCCCAAGGGATGCTTCTGACAAAATCTGGTTAAGTTGTTTATGACTTATTGCGATTTGTTTCAAAAAAAGTTGATGACGACGGACACTGTAATGTGCCAAAAGCTCACTTGGACCTTCGACCAGGTGAGCTAAAAATAACTTATCATATTATTGCAAATGAAGGACAATAATCAGTGCAAAATTTAAAAATGTTCATTTTAATGTGTGCTTTTAAAAATCAATGGGGAAAACATGACAATAAAACTGATTGAAGTCCAGGACAGAAATATTAAAACATTACTTGATTATTGGTATACATACAGTACACTTATCATTATCATACCCTTCAAAGATTCAAAACATGTTTCAATCCTTTGACTTCAAGAATTGCTTACATTTACAAATGCAGTGTCCATTTCAATACTGGCTCCTGTAATACAGTAATTATTTTTATACAAATAAACTCTGTCCTTCTTGAAACTTACAAGGGTTGTGTCCATCTCAATACTAGCTCTGACCAAGTAATTGCAAACTAGACAAATATAAAATAATTTCATGACAGTGATCTGTGACATTATTGAAGTCTTTCACAACAATGCTCCAGTATATTGGCTTCCTTCAGCATAATTCCACCACATTTTCTCTGCTTTATCCCTTATAACTTTTCGTTTGATTGGATTTGATCGTTAAATTTCTTCTGACATTAAATATTATAAGCAAAATACAAACAATTCATCACCATAGTCACACACGTGATAATATCAGTTCCATAATTTTTTGGAGCGAATCTTCATCTTCCCAATTATTAAACACCATCGCATACAACTTCAAAGTTAATCTTCCAAGAATTACTAATCTTCAGCATTAACACTGCTATAGTCTAGGCCTTGCTGTAGAAAAACGCAGACAAGATACTTAAAAGATATCAGCATCATCGGGTGCATCCAGGTCTCGGTACTCTATAATTCCTCTTGGGTCAGATCTGCGGCTGCAAATGAGCAAAACATTAAACGTTTTACACTGCTACCTGATGAAGAGTATTATGGAGGCCAATCTTTGAAAAACAAAGAGTGTGCCAGGATTGTCAACTGTCAGATATATGATTGTGGTCAGTATTTTAAACTATAAAAATGTACAGACATTTCACCAGAAAGTTTAATCCGATATCTGAATATTAACCCTTGTCCTTAATAAATTCTGCAAAATAATGCCTCACCACCCCAGTTCAACTGAATGAACTAAATAGGTCTCCAGGGACAAAGAAAAATAACCAGTCTGATAAAACATAACCTATTATGTATATGAATAAGACTGCTAATTGAAAATATATAAAAAATGAACAGGGAAAATGTTCAAAATATTCCAGCAGCTCATAATTACCTAAAATCTGAGATTTTGAAGAATGGAATGAAATGAGTCAAACCTCCATGATTTGTTGTAGTGCGTAAATTCACTATGTCCCCGAAATTCAGTTTAATTAGTTGAGAACACACATTTTATATTAAAGCAATATTTATAAAGGAAAAAGTATATAAAAATGTTCAGTCAAGTTGAATTTTGGTGAAGGTCATGATACTGCTCTAATTCACAAACCTTTCATCTTTCCCCTAAAGTTGGATCTATTTTTTCCCCTTGAACTTAACTTCAAAGTATATGTGAAATATAGAGTTACTAGGCCATATACTCTCAGAGAAACTGATCAAAACAAGATCCATCATTTCTTGTAAAACACATATTTAAATCTTGTCCTCGAGGAGAAATAAATTATGATCCGAGTGTCAACATGTAAATATAATGTCAAAGTGTATTTATAAATATACAAGAATATTCACACACAATTCTCACTTCATGAATATCCAAGATTCTCTGAGAAAATTTTTCGTAATTCACATTTTTGAAAACCCAAAACATAAGATCTGTGCAAGGTATTTTCTAAAACACCTGATTCACAATTAAAATTTCAATGATATCTCCACTGCCCGTATAAGCATTATTACAAAATTATAAAAAAAACTACACAAATATATTATTTAGAGTTCATTTCCACAGAGAAAAAACAAAGGTTTATTGCTCAATTTGAATAAATAGCATTGGCCTGAAATTTCCTGTAAAGTCTGTTTTTTCTCTAAACAATAACTTAATGTATTGTTCTCCAATTTCATGCAAAATGAATTGAAGTTTGCACAAAAAAAAAAAAAAAAAAAAAACTTTCTTTTCCTCAAAAGATGATAGCTGATAAATTTTTGCTAATTCTTTACAAAGCAGGCTCAGCAATTTTTCAAACATCACTAGAAACATGTTAGACAACCTGGTTGTATTTTGTTTACTCAACTGTTCATTGTTCCTCTTCCAATTATTTGAACTTGATCTGGAAAAAACAGTTACAATCAGAACATATCTATTTGGTTTTTTACCGATATTTTGAATGCAGTTTTTTTCATCGCTTCTTTTTCTGGTTATTTTTTTCAAATATGTTGTGATTACAAAGCAAACAGAGATACACTTAACAGAAAATAACAGTTCTCAAGGGAGCTGACCAGATTTCTCGGTTCTTAAGAGAACATGAAAGATTTGTGACAATATTTAACAGATTTCTCAGAGAAAGTAAGTTCTCTAAGAAATTCAATCAATTTCTCAGTAAATATAACAATACCAGTCTAAGTAACTGAATAGATTTTTTTACAAAAATAATAGTTAAGAGATTTATGTGTGAAAATAAATTCTCGAGAAAAGTTAACTGATTTTTCAGTGAATATAGCATTTCTCAGAAACAATATAGCATTTCTCAGAAACAAAGTTCCACATATGATAATGATTTATCAATGAGAAATACGTGCCAATTAAGTCTACTATCAAATGGTAAAGACCTATACATTTAATCAATTAAAAATTATTTTGATTTTAATCAGGTAATGATAAATTTTGAAAGTTGATTACAGTAAAAAAAAAAGTGTTAAAAACAGTCAATGTTTTGCAAGTATGTAGCATGAGGATGTTAGAAAAAATTTAACAAAATGCTGTAAACATTAACATGAACAGTGAACGTGTCAAGCATTGAAGGAAATCCAATGAAAGGTGCTATCGTGAAAGGTTAACAACAATACAATCCCATATCCCTTCATTTATATCATACAAATTATTGTCAGGGTTGTTGAAAATTCCTCCCTAACAAAAGAATTTATACTGGAACAAATTCATTTTCCACTGTTAAAAAACTTCCTTCCATGATGTATTGCTATCCCATCCCTTCCACACTGTTAAAAAACTTCCTTAAACAATATATTGCTATCTCATCCCTTCCACACCGTTAAAAATTCTCTTAAAAAATATATTGCTATCTCATCCCTTCCACACCGTTAAAAATTCCCTTAAAAAATATATTGCTATCCCATCCCTTCCACACCATTAAAAATTTCCTTACAAAATATATTGCTATCCCATCCCTTCCACCAATAAGATTGATCAGTGTCCCATTCCAATGGACAAAACTCCATTTCCCAAGTTCACATATCTACCATACATTTTTAATGGAAGTTTATTATAAGGATTTATAAAAATAGAAGGTTTTATTTTACAAATGTTTGTTACGTGACAAAATCTTTGAATTATTGTAACAAGGTTTTAATCAACAAATGGTCCAAGTCCAACAAGGCTTTCTAAATCTGTGAGTAAAATAAAGGGAGCTAATTATCGATACACTCTCGACTTCAGTTTCAAGCATACACATTCTGAAGGTCATACTTGTATTTAATAGCTTTGTGTCATACTTATTTTCTGCTAATCATGAAATGAGGACAAATGTAACGGTATAAAAGTTCAAACAGTCCCTCAGAAATTTTTGGTGTTACTAAGAATATAATAACAATATGAACATGAACTGAAACTGAATAAAATTTTATTTGAGAACAAAAAATTTAAGAAATATTCAATCAATGCAACTCAAGCTTTATCATCAACTCAAGAAAGGATAACTTTGTAATTCAATGAAATTATGAAAATAAATTATTCAAAAGTTAACAGAACATAAAGTGAAATGATATAAAATATATTCCTTAAATATGTTTATACAAACATGTCAATCAGACTTGACGGAATTTAAAAACAACTGTTTCTTGTACAGCTTTGTTTTCAATATTACTAATCCATGTCGCCACATGTTTGTAAAACTGACAAATACACACATAACTGCACATAAAACACAACACAACATACATAGTAAAACACAACAAAATGTTACAATACTACATTTCATTCTGAACATATATGTCTATATATAGACACACATATATATATATATATATATAGAAAATGAAAATGAAAGTTGTGCTAAAAATAGCTCAAAGCAGCTATGAAAGATTACTTCACTCAAATATGATATTCAATCAATCTGTGTCTAATGCTGTTCAGTAGAACAGTGTCCGTATGTCAATATTTCTTCTCTTCATCCAATGTCAACACCTATATTGATCGATTAATTCTATAAAATGGTTGAACTCCTTTAATATACCATTTCTATTTAAATTTGATCTTAAATCTCAGAAATATGAAATTTTACTGTTATTAAATTCAGTTTTTCTAAACGTACGAGAAACCAATATTGCTGCTGTGAAGACAATAAATCTGATGTTTTCAATTTTGGCCACGATTTTAAGCATAAGGATAATATATAAAAATTGTTAGTGAGAACAAAGAAACAGATGTTATGATCAAATGCTTTATATCCAATATTTGGTATGTACCAGTTTTAATACAGGATAGATGATGTTAGTCTACATATATAAGTCATATATACAATATTTAGCTACGTAGCAAAAGGAATATTCTCCTAAAGTGTTGGTCAACTGTCAGCAATAAAAAGACAGAGAATTTCTAGGAGTGCTAATCTGTATCAATAGCTGAAAATATACAGAAAGTCTTTTGGGAAATTATCATCAGTGATTGTTGGTAAAGGAATAGTTGGACTGACTGGTAAATGTCAGGATACTTGTGTTTTTGGAATTTTTAGATACAGGGAAGTTGTTTAAGAGTGCTTGAAAACTGTCATCAATTCGAGATACAGGGAAGTTGTTTAAGAGTGCTTGAAAACACATTAATTTGAGATACAGGGAAGTTGTTTAAGAGTGCTTGAAAACTGTCATCAATTCGAGATACAGGGAAGTTGTTTAAGAGTGCTTGAAAACACATTAATTTGAGATACAGGGAAGTTGTTTAAGAGTGCTTGAAAACTGTCATCAATTCGAGATACAGGGAAGTTGTTTAAGAGTGCTTGAAAACACATTAATTTGAGATACAGGGAAGTTGTTTAAGAGTGCTTGAAAACTGTCATCAATTCGAGATACAGGGAAGTTGTTTAAGAGTGCTTGAAAACACATTAATTTGAGATACAGGGAAGTTGTTTAAGAGTGCTTGAAAACTGTCATCAATTCGAGATACAGGGAAGTTGTTTAAGAGTGCTTGAAAACACATTAATTTGAGATACAGGGAAGTTGTTTAAGAGTGCTTGAAAACTGTCATCAATTCGAGATACAGGGAAGTTGTTTAGAGTGCTTGATAACTGTTATCAATTCGAGATACAGTAAAATTTTTTTGAGCATACAATTATCATTTTGGGTACAGTGTTCCTGGAGTGCATAGTAACTGTCCATAATACAATATCATGGTTAGCTCCTTTGAAATGTATGATTTCTGTTCATAATTTTAGACACAGGAAAGTTGTTTTGGCATGTATGGTATTGTCAATAAGTCAAGATACAGGAAAGTTCTTCTCACCTGTATGGAAATTGTCATTAAGATACAGGAAAGTTCTTCTCACCTGTATGGAAATTGTCATTAAGATACAGGAAAGTTCTTCTCACCTGTATGGAAATTGTCATTAAGATACAGGAAAGTTCTTCTCACCTGTATGGAAACTGTCATTAAGATACAGGCAAGTTCTTCACAAGTTAATGGTAGCTGTCAATAATTCAGGGTACAAGGAATATTTTTCCAAGTGCACAGTAATTGTCAACAATTTAACGTACAAGGCAGATTTTTCAAGTGCCAGTTATTGGTCATAATAGAAAATAAAGGGAATTTAGGTCAAATAATAAGGGAACCGATTCAAAATATAGGAAATATCTTTAAGATTATGTCACTACAAGTTTGTACTGTTCTTTGTACAGATAATTTCAACGTTATAGCCTCACCCTAATTGAATTGGTTTGACACAACTTTTCTCTTTCCACTTTTTTTTTATTTACATTAATACTAAATCTAACAGATGTTTTTCTCTAAACATTCCATAATTTTATTCATATGATTTGCATGAATTTTTTCAAGTTTTCAGAGCAACGAGTGCTAGAATTATTGACATAATCAATAACATTCATTCTTAAATGTTATACAATGTTGTTAATTTAATATCAGTGATGGAATTTCTGTACAGGTTTTCACAAATGTTTTAATTTTTGTATTCTGGGTGTTCAGAGAACAGCTGATCATTTTGAGGTTACGTCTCCTTGAAGTATCTGTTGACTATCTCACTGAAATGTCTGTTGCATGATGCATATCCAGAGCTACTGGAAATTTGAAATTTGTCATGACTATTCCAGTAAAACATCTGTCTTATCCAAAGACTTGTTTAGGGGTACAACCCAACGACTGTGACAATTTGCTTCCTTATAATAGGTAAGAAGCTGCCGCATGGATGGAAGTGATTAATTTTGAAGTCAAGTTGGGTCGAATAAATGTTTTATTGGAATAGCCATTCACAGTAATCTGGGATTCTATAACTCTATACAGCTGAAAGTTGTTACTGGTTTTAAAAATCCTCTGATGCCTGTTACATTTCACACTAATATATATATAGTAAATTTGTGGTTTAAATGACAACACAAGGATTGTCCATAATAACTCTTACAATAATATATAGCTAGTGTATATATAAGTATATAAGTGAAATGCTACCATCAGTTAATGGCACAGATTCCAATTTCCAATTTCCAATTTTGCGAAAAAACTAGAACATTAGTACCAACTGAAATTTAACACAACTTCAGTGTAATATCCTCATTGTCTAACTTGAAACATCAATTATATATAAATCTTTTGCATTCATTCAAAACACACTGTCTATGGATTGTTATTTGGACTTTCTAAGCACAATATCAGTAACAAATTTCAACTGTATTTAGAGAGTGCTCTTCGGGAGTTGGGATGACACATCAAAAACACAAATTCAGAACACCTTCTCAACTTGCACATGACACTTTGCAGCAAGATTTTTTTTTTCTGTAACTACCAATCATTCATTAAAAAAAAAAAATCTTAAATATTCACATATTGATTTTTATTTTTATATTAATTTATCAAAAATAACACAATTTGCTGCTTCAAAATGAGCAGTTACTGCAGGGTGTTCTGTAAACAAATGTATCATTTTCTTTATTATACCAAATACCAGTGAATTCTGACTGTATCTTTTGAAAGTCATTTCTCCCTTCAAGAGCATATAAGTATATATAAACTTTTCTAAAGTTCAAAGCAGTTCAATTTTCCAACATATTGTAAACCACTAATTTTTTTTCAATGCTGTGCAATACTCAAGATATAAACACCATATTTTTTTCTTTTTTTTCTTTTGCAAGGATTGTTTTGGATTTTGAATAATTGTTTTCATCAAATCTAGGAAATAGAGATTTTTTTCCAATATAAAGAGAAAAATCTGCTTTGAATTTTTATCGGGAATAATCAGAACAACAAGAAAATATTGATTACATTCAGAAAGCAAGAAAAGTTTTCAAGCAAGAATCAAGTATAAGGTATAACAAATGTAAACAATACATGACACTACAGGTGTTAGTGGAAGCAAGCGTTTTAATGGTGTTTGGTTATACAAGGTAAACAAGATCCGATTTGTTTACTGACCGAATGAAAGAGTTAGGGTATGGTGACCTCCTGTAGGGATCGCCTCGGTATGGTTCATTGCCTCCTCGAGCTCCGTAACTCTGGTTACCATAAGATTGCTGTCCTTGATTATTACCTGGTTTAAAATCAAATCAGTTCAAGAACTGGTCATTTGAGAATTTCAGTTGATTAAGCAATCATTGCTCAAACAATATTGTAGAATGTGTGCAAATCTCCCTAGTTTGCAACCATTTGGACTGTTTTTTGCAACAAAGAAAACTATACCTATATGGAGCTACTAAAGAAAAGTTAACTTCCTGTTCTAATATGGTGTTACCCAAGAAAAGTTAACTTCCTGTTCTAATATGGTGTTACCCAAGAAAAGTTAACTTTCTGTTCTAATATGGTGTTACCCAAGAAAAGTTAACTTCCTGTTCTAATATGGTGTTACCCAAGAAAAGTTAACTTTCTGTTCTAATATATGTTACCAAAGAAAAGATGACTTCCTGTTCTAATATGGAGCTATCCAAAAAAAGATAACTTTCTGTTCTAATATATGTTACCAAAGAAAAGATGACTTCCTGTTCTAATATGGAGCTACCAAAGAAAAGATAACTTCCTGTTCTAATATATGTTACCAAAGAAAAGATGACTTCCTGTTCTAATATGTGTTACCCAAGAAAAGATAACTTCCTGTTCTAATATGGTGTTATCCAAAAAAAGATAACTTCCTGTTCTAATATATGTTACCAAAGAAAAGATGACTTCCTGTTCTAATATATGTTACCAAAGAAAAGATGACTTCCTGTTCTAATATGGAGCTACCAAAAAAAGATAACTTTCTGTTCTAATATATGTTACCAAAGAAAAGATGACTTCCTGTTCTAATATGGAGCTACCAAAGAAAAGATAACTTCCTGTTCTAATATGGTGTTACCAAAGAAAAGATGACTTCCTGTTCTAATATGGAGCTACCAAAAAAAGATAACTTTCTGTTCTAATATATGTTACCAAAGAAAAGATGACTTCCTGTTCTAATATATGTTACCAAAGAAAAGATGACTTCCTGTTCTAATATGGAGCTACCAAAAAAAGATAACTTTCTGTTCTAATATATGTTACCAAAGAAAAGATGACTTCCTGTTCTAATATGGAGCTACCAAAAAAGATAACTTTCTGTTCTAATATATGTTACCAAAGAAAAGATGACTTCCTGTTCTAATATGGAGCTACCAAAAAAAGATAACTTTCTGTTCTAATATATGTTACCAAAGAAAAGATGACTTCCTGTTCTAATATGGAGCTACCAAAGAAAAGATAACTTCCTGTTCTAATATATGTTACCAAAGAAAAGATGACTTCCTGTTCTAATATGGAGCTACCAAAAAAAGATAACTTTCTGTTCTAATATATGTTACCAAAGAAAAGATGACTTCCTGTTCTAATATGGAGCTACCAAAAAAAGATAACTTTCTGTTCTAATATATGTTTACCAAAGAAAAGATGACTTCCTGTTCTAATATGGAGCTACCAAAGAAAAGATAACTTCCTGTTCTAATATATGTTACCAAAGAAAAGATGACTTCCTGTTCTAATATGGAGCTACCAAAAAAAGTTAACTTTCTGTTCTAATATATGTTACCAAAGAAAAGATGACTTCCTGTTCTAATATGGAGCTACCAAAGAAAAGATAACTTCCTGTTCTAATATATGTTACCAAAGAAAAGATGACTTCCTGTTCTAATATGGAGCTACCAAAGAAAAGATAACTTCCTGTTCTAAAATGGAGCTAACAAAAAAAAGATGACTTCCTGTTCTAATATGGTGTTACCCAAGAAAAGACAGCTTCCTGTTCTAATATATGTTACCCAAGAAAAGATAGCTTCCTGTTCTAATATATGTTACCCAAGAAAAGATAACTTCCTGTTCTAATATATGTTACCCAAGAAAAGATAACTTCCTGTTCTAATATGGAGCTAGTTCTTACAGCACAACCAGTAGAAGATTAGAATGTGATGTTTCTATGACTACACAGTCATCTTCATGAGACAGTATCCATGTCAATGGCATCAAGATGACAAAAACAATGGTTGATCAGTCAGTTTAATACCAACAAAAATACATTTTTCTACACTTCAAGGGCCTCTATCAAATGTGTTATCATGTAAAGTCATGAATAATTCACATCTATGCAACATCTTACTTTCTTTCCACATTCAGCACTAACTGTGACATATTTCACAAAATGTGGCATTCCTTATATGTAACATCAGACATTTCTAAAACTCCAGCCCCAATGGGTCGTATAACAGCAAACTTAGTACTGTGTAAATCAGTTTTTAATATTGTTTCTCACCAAACATCATCTGATGACGAGGTTGGCCATATCCCATGATGCCTTGCTGTGGTGGTCCCTGGAAGTTACCAGGTCCATGACTGCTGAACTGGTTCTGACTACTTGAGCTTGGTCCAGACCCTTGTTTGTTGCCAGGGTGTTCGGGTAACGATGGTCTTTTTGGATCCAGAAGGTAGTTGTTGAAAAATGTTACCTGCAAAAGAAAAACATAATACAACACTGTACATGTAAAATGGAATAACTAACCAGTTCTGATTAAATTACTGTCTGTTATTGGAATAACTAACCAGTTCTGATTCAATTACTGTCTGTTATTGGAATAACTAACCTGTTCTGGTTAAATTACTGTCTGTTATTGGAATAACTAACCAGTTCTGATTAAATTACTGTCTGTTATTTTTAAGACTTTCAAGCTTGAATTTAGTTTATGTTTTTATATCTTCACAACAGCCATCTTGAAATGTCAATAGAAGATAGGTCAATTCAAGGGCACTTTAAAAGTGCTATCATACTGAAAGATCATAACCTTGACCCAGTAGCAGGACACTCCATCTGTGACATCATACTGACAATGTGCTGATCCGTTTTTCATGTCTACTCATTAAAACTCCATGTCTACTAATTGAACTGTGTGTCTATTGATTAAAACTATGTGCCTACTCATTAAAACACCATGTCTGTTCATTAACACTACATATATACTCATTAAAACCATGTCTACTCATTAAAACTGTGTCTATTCATTAAAACTCCATGGCTACTCATTACTACTGTGTCTTTTCATTACAACTGTGTGTCTACTTGACACAGTTTTCTAAGTTCTACTTACATGAACAAAGATAATAAAGAGCCTTTCAACAAGAAGGATGTAGAATCTACTTCCTGGTGTAGAATTTCCATATTACAGAAAAATCCAAGTCCCATTCACACTAGACTAGCAAACAACACACTTAAAGAAACTTTTGAATTTGTCCAGAATATCTGAATTCATAAAGTCGAATTTTATACTCACCTCTTTTTTAACTTCCTCAACCTTTTCTGCATGCTTGTTGAAGAGATGTTTGCGGACAAATTCAGGACCTTTGAATTTCTTCCCACTCATCGGGCATAACCATTTGTCTTTGGCGAGCTCCTGGGTGTTGGCTGTCACAAATTTCTCCACTTCAGTACAGAGAGTCAAGGAGACAAATGTCATTTAAAAATAAATTTCACAAACATTTTGAAAATTTGTTTTATATGACAATTCACAAGATTTAAACATCTCTCTAACAAAGAATGATGTTGAGATTTTGGTGACCTTGTCAAATGAAACTTGAAAGCCACAACTGATGATTACATCACAAATTGACAGCAATGATCCTGTATATCCCATTGTTGTGGCTCACAGAAAACTGGTACAATGTAAATACCAAAAACAATTAATGAACAAATTTACTAATTGGCTCTAAATCAATTGATATTGTTAATTATGACTCTCACAATAACTAGCAAATTGACAGAGATTTATCTTTAATGCGAAGGTTACAAAAACAAAAATATGTGTAAGTGTTCTGAAAATGTACCAAATTTATAATCAAATTCTAAAATCTTCAGCAAGATGTTCAGAATACTTTCGGTGTCCTTCAGTAACAAAATGATACAATAATGTTATGTAAATGTCTTGTAACCTTTTTTGTCATAAAGATACATCGACAATTTTTTTTTCTCATCGCACACATTAAATTACAAAACAAAAATGTTTGTATCCTGTCGTCTTTATCAGTCACTAATTGATCAGAATACAATTATGATCCTTAGTGAAGTTTTAAGTTAAAATAGATGTTTCAGTCATAGCTACATAATTTATCTCATTAAAAATGCATTTGATTATTTAAAGTGCATACACATATAAAAATTTTGAAAACAAAAAGTCTTGTCAAAAGATATAAATCAAAGGTTTCAAACAGTTCAGAATGTCAATATACAGAAGCAATACAATATTTTTTTCATGTTTGAGTTCTCAGTTAGTATAAAAATTTAAAAAACTTTTACCAATAATGATGATTAGCTTGCCATAAAAGCAGCAAAAACACACAATATCAAATTTTATTTTCTATTGTCTACAAACACTTAACCATCGTTTAATTTCAACACAACAAGGATATGCTTCAGGGTCTTTCTTGCCAAGTTTAGCTGCTTCTGCCTCAGCTAGTAAATCTTGTGGTTCTGAAAATACTTTAAGTTTCTCCTCAAAACTCTTGGTCCACTCTGCAGCTGAAATAGAAATTAATGGATACAGGATAAAACAAACTTTACAATAAGTTACTGACATTTAATCCAAGTATCCAAATCACAGATGTGAAATCATATATCTGGTCATTATTGCTACAGGACAGTAACATGAAAACAAAATCCTGTGAGATTTAGAGACACATGTAAATATTTTCCTCGATACAATAAAACTACAACAGAATTGTCTCATTGGTCTTGTTATTGTTTGAAACAGATATCCTTATATAGACAATATTACATGAAACAAACTATTTGCATTTAAAACAAAACATCACAATTATCATACATCATGGTTGTGATTTAAAACAAGACATCAGGAAAAAGATTCATGTAATCAAATATCTCTTATAACTAGATAGGAAACTTAAAAACTATAAAATATAATTATCTCATCTTAAATGAAAAATTTGAAAATTTTGATGCATGAAAATAGCCAAGTAAAAGAGACTGTAAATGCTTAGACTTCTGTACTGGCTCCTGACTTCTAAACTTTGTCATTAACAAATCCTATTCTCTACTGCTCTAGCTCCTGACTTCTAAACTTTTTCATTAACAAATCCTATTCTCTACTGTTCTGGGTTCCTGACTTCTAAACTTCGTCATTAACAAATCCTATTCTCTACTGTTCTAGCTCCTGACTTCTAAACTTTGTCATTAACAAATCCTATTCTCTACTGCTCTGGCTCCTGACTTCTAAACTTTGTCATTAACAAATCCTATTCTCTACTGCTCTAGCTCCTGACTTCTAAACTTTGTCATTAACAAATCCTATTCTCTACTGTTCTGGCTCCTGACTTCTAAACTTTGTCATTAACAAATCCTACACTCTACTGTTCTAGCTCCTGACTTCTAAACTTCGTCATTAACAAATCCTATTCTCTACTGTTTTCCGGCTCCTGACTTCTAAACTTTGTCATTAACAAATCCTACTCTCTACTGTTCTGGCTCCTGACTTCTAAACTTTGTCATTAACAAATCCTATTCTCTACTGTTCTGGCTCCTGACTTCTAAACTTTGTCATTAACAAATCCTATTCTCTACTGTTCTAGCTCCTGACTTCATGTTTACCTGTCAACTTTTTACTGATGTATCAACAAGAATCTTCAATGCCAAATTTTCACATGCTGCAGTTAGGTTCATGGAGACATTTGCCCCTAAAAATCTTAAACTATTTGTTCCTTTGCCTTTTAACTTAAACTTGAAAGGCATTTTCATTTTGATAATATATGTAACAAAAACTTGCTGAATTGACCAGAGTGTAATGTTCTTCGCTCCACGGATTTTTGGGTGTTTGGTTGTTTGTGGGGAAGAAGAATATGGAATTATCCAGAATCAAAAGAATCTGTACTTACCTTCAGAAGCAGGTAGTTTACTTAAAGGTGGTGGTCCCCGTGCATGCATGATGCCACATCGGTGAGGCATCTCATCCTCGTTTGGGTACTCATTAGCACTATAGTAGTCAATTGAATGGACAATGCGCAGATACAAGATCATTCTGTCTAAAGCCTGTAGATGTAGAGAAAAAAGGATATCTGAGGCATTCATTAAGAAATAGATTGTATCTACAGACAATTTGTAGATGTTTAAAAGATAATAATCAATGAATTATTAGAATTAAACTTAAGAAAAATTAAGTATTATTATGTAGAATAGAATTGAAGATAATTTCTAAAAGTGAAATGCAGACCTTCCTTGATGATATTTTCATCTCTCTCTACACCAGTTCCTTACCTTGATGATATTTTCATCTCTCTCTATACCAGTTCCTTACCTTGATGATATTTTCATCTCTCTCTATACCAGTTCCTTACCTTGATGATATTTTCATCTCTCTCTATACCAGTTCCTTACCTTGATGATATTTTCATCCCTCTCTATACCAGTTTCTAATGCACTGTCTTTCTCGCTCTCCTCTACGGATTGCCCTGTAAACAAGCATTTCTTCAATATACAATAGATAGATTGAACCTTGCTTTATGAGAAAATCATTCTGGAGATTTAGCTTCATGGACCAGTTTTTGCAGGTAGGTGTGCCCGTTGGTGACAGCATTCAAGAATATTACATCTCAAGTAAAATGGAAGTGACATTTTTTCTCTTTATACAGGAAAGAAAAGGCAGTTAACCTTAGTTAAAATGTATTGAATTTGCCTCAGCTGATGAAAGAAGAGTACCACAGAGCAGGTTCTACATTCATCAATTAATGAATATAAATATGGAAATGGTACATTGAGTCAAAATGCAAAACAAAAAAACAGTGTTATGTGTTCTGATGATAAATTAAAGCACATCAAGTTTGAGAGATATCAGCTGAATATTCTGACAAAATAAACAAAGAAGAACAATAAGGGGCACTAACTCTTCCACATACAGTCCAGGAAAAGAGGTCATGGTGATTAAGCCAATCAAGTTTTAAAAAAATTAGTTGAAATCTAAAGGCGATCTCGAGGCAAATAAAGTACAAAACATGTTATTTTGCACTGTCAGCTGAAAAATTACAAAAGAAAAATTACCACAAAATTTGAGAAGTACCTACAAAATTACCTATAAACCTCAACTAGACCTATTCCAATAAACCTAATAGGAAATAGTAAGACAGATACGTTACCTAGAAGTTCCTCCTCCTCAAAGCTACCTTCCTCCACCAGATAGTCGGTGATGTTCTTGAGGACAGGGTTCCGTGACATCAGGCTATATGATTGCTGCTAAACAAACAATTTTCAGGACTTGCCATTTAACTATGTATAAATCTGTACATTATATTTTCACATTTAAACATGTCTCCCTATCTGATAAAATACTCTTAAATGTTTAATTATAACAGATCATTATCACTTTTTTAAATGTAATTTTCCTGAAATGGCTCATAATTGTCTAAATTAATTTCTATTACAGTATCACACACATACAAACTTCCTTAAAGGTAGTTGAGGGTAGCTTCACACTAGCATTGTTTCATGAGAAATTTTGAAGTATAGTAGATTTTAGCTAATTTTCACCCCCTCTCACATCATATTATGAATCTATCACAAGACATGGCATTTCACTGTGAAACCCCCTTTCTTTCTCTCATATGTACGACAATTTTACAATATAATGACTTAATATCAATTTTACCTCTTTTGATTTATCTCCCTTCTCTCCTTCTGGATCATCCCAGATGCACCACTTCTTGTCAAGATTGTGAATGACTTTGGCTGCAATCTTTATATCTCCCGTGACGATCTGCCTGTGTGCTGTCACACCATTGATGGGTCGTACACGCTGTTTGAGTTCACGATTTAATGTCGCTCCAAGTTCACAGTCCCTAAGCTGGAACACCAAAATCAACAATAACAATTTTTTTTTTTTTATTGATATCACAATATATAACATCATCACATTCTGTTGTCTTTGCTATATCTTTTCCACAAATACTGAGATGAGAAGCTTATTTCCAAACAAGTGAATCATTGAAAACATGAGAACATGATGCCAGCTCCGACGGTGTAAATTTTCCATATCTGTCAATCATATCTACATAAAAACACAAATTCAAAGGTTGGGTATTATTTTCTCCAATGGTTTAAATCTTTATAGTTTTACACTAAGTCTGAATCACTTTAAAAATTTGACTACATCTTAGAAACTACAAAATATAGTGAAGATTTCTTGTCAACAACATTGATCATCAAGGTTCTGTACATCACATAAACTATAAATAGCCTTACTCTGGTGTTGTTGAGGTTCTGTACATCACACATAAACTATAAATAGCCTTACTCTGATGTTGTTGAGGTTCTGTACATCACATACATAAACTATAAATAGCCTTACTCTGATGTTGTTGAGGTTCTGTACATCACATACATAAACTATAAATAGCCTTACTCTGATGTTGTTGAGGTTCTGTACATCACACACATGAACCATAAACAGCCTTACTCTGATGTTGTTGAGGTTCTGTACAACACACATAAACTATAAATAGCCTTACTCTGATGTTTTTGAGGTTCTGTACAACACATACATAAACTATAAATAGCCTTACTCTGATGTTGTTGAGGTTCTGTACATCACATACATAAACTATAAATAGCCTTACTCTGATGTTGTTGAGGTTCTGTACATCACATACATAAACTATAAATAGCCTTACTCTGATGTTGTTGAGGTTCTGTACATCACATACATAAACTATAAATAGCCTTACTCTGATGTTGTTGAGGTTCTGTACATCACACACCTAAACTAAACTACTCTGATGTTGTTGAACATCACACACCTAAACTATAAATAGCCTTACTCTGATGTTGTTGAGGTTCTGTACAACACACACCTAAACTATAAATAGCCTTACTCTGATGTTGTTGAGATTCCAACAGATTTCTTTGATATTGACATCCCGTTCAAATGTGACCCAGCCACGACGGAAAAAGTTCCTTTCTGGTTGAGGATCCTGAAGAGCAACTCTTATAAAACCTGGATAGCGCTTACACATCTGTAAACAAAACATGAATGTTATCATGTCTCTTTCTCTAGCAGAAAATCTCACACTCTAGTAAAAACTAGTCAGTCATTAAATCTAAATATATCAAAACAAGATATGACGTCTAAGTTATTATTTTTGTTATCAGTTCATTATCATTCAGCTTTAACCCATAATATATAAATGTCCATATAAAACATCTGGAAAATTCATCAAAACCTTTACTATTGCTGGAGGTGCTGGAGGGCTAGCCTCTCTTTTTCTGATGAGTTTCCACATTTTACAATAAAAAAACAACTGGAGATCAACTCATCTACACAAGTTTTCTCTAGGTATTTAGTTCCCTTAAGATAGAGAGTTTTAATTTAGTCAAGTAAATCATTTATCCCAGCCCAGTACTCCAAGCTTTGTTAAGGGTGCCACTCACAGAACTTAATTTGCTTTATATGTTACAGGCAGAAAACCACGGATAGAAATTCTTGAGACAAGTGGATATTTTATATGAAGATGATATCATAACAGTTTGATATAAAATTAGTGAGTATAGTAGGATGTGGATGTGATTTTATGTCATCATGTAAAACCTGACGCCACCAGAGAGGAAAACACCAAAAACAAGTACAAAAGGACACTCAAATCATTATCCAATATCAAATCATTATTCTTTACCCTCAAATCATTATCCTATATCAAATCATTATCCTATACCCTCAAATCATTATTCTTTACCCTCAAATCATTATTCTATACTCTCAAATCATTATTCTATACCCTCAAATCATTATTCTTTACCCTCAAATCATTATTCTTTACCCTCAAATCATTATTCTATACCCTCAAATCATTATTCTTTACCCTCAAATCATTATCCTATATCAAATATTATACTATACCCTCAAATCATTATTCTTTACCCTCAAATCATTATTCTTTACCCTCAAATCATTATCCTATATCAAATCATTATTCTTTACCCTCAAATCATTATTCTTGACTCTCAAATCATTATCCTATACCCTCAAATCATTATCCTATACCCTCAAATCATTATTCTTTACTCTCAAATCATTATCCTATACCCTCAAATCATTATCCTATACCCTCAAATCATTATTCTTGACTCTCAAATCATTATCCTATACCCTCAAATCATTATCCTATACCCTCAAATCATTATTCTTTACTCTCAAATCATTATCCTATACCCTCAAATCATTATTCTATACCCTCAAATCATTATTCTATACCCTCAAATCATTATTCTATACTCTCAAATCATTATTCTTTACCCTCAAATCATTATTCTATTGAGTAATAACTTACAGCCTCAACTTCCTGTTTGGTAATTGATGGTGCCAGATTTCGAAGGAATATGGAACAAGTTTTATGGAGAGCACGAGGTTTAGGAGAGTTGGTTGTCTCCCCTTCGTCTTCCATCTGGGCGGCAGTATCTTCATCTTTTTCATTCTCCGTAGCCTCATCTTCTACAGTTAAGATATACAGGTAATATATGGAGGAAAGGTATCAATACAAGATATACACCAGTACCTTGAGAAAATAGCCAGGTAAAATATATGTATGTAAAAAAAAATTTCAATATATACAGATGATATACACCAATCCCTATTTGTCAGCACCAGTTTTAATATTCTGTAGGCTATTCCCTAAAATATTTATCTTTCTAGAGTACTCCTGAAATACAGAAATCCTACATTCTGAGTGCTGAAGACAATGCACTTTCATTCCATAATGGGTTTTCACTGGTGTTCAAAAATACCATAATTATGATTTTCTGACCAAATTTATTCTCAATTCTCACCTCTCTTTTTTTTGTTTTTTTGTTTTTTTAATTCTTTTTTTTTTCTAAAATTCATTTCTTTTTAAATTGCTGAAAAGGAACCCCTTGAAAACTTAGAAAAAGTAGTAGTTATGTTTTAATCAGTCTTCTTCTCTAAATTGTCCCTGTGTCAATGTATATCAAAACTGGTGCTTTTTCATTAGGTGGACGTTTTTACTGAAGCAGCCCTAAATACCTAAATACCTTTTCCTCAAGCAAGACAAGATGAGGAAAATAAAACACACTTCATATCACATACCTTTCTTTGAGTCCTCTGACTTAGCAGCAACATCCTCCGTGGAGGAGGAAACACCAGGCATGCTGATAGAGTCTGTGGATGACTCCAGACCCGGGGCTGGGGCTTCATCTTCAAGACCAGGTGGTGCTGGCTCGGGCTCCGACTCTGACCCTGTTCCACTCTCAGACTCCGAACCACTCTCATAGCTGTACTCTGTTTTGTCACGGTGTCGGTTTTTCTTCTTTTTAGGCTTTTTTTCTTCCTACCAGGAGTGTTTATAAGAACAGATGTAACATATTATAGACTAGTATCCAATGTCAATTACCTGCTATTTCTCTAGTTTGTCCTCAGAATTTTCCTTTCAATGATTCAATTAATTACCTGTGTAAAAATCTGGAATTATATATTGTACTTATGTGCATATTTATGTCATTCAAGTGCAGCAAATGTAAATATTTCTGAAGCTGTCTTATTTCACTGCTTTTCAAGCTGAAAATATTATTGCATTAAGATATGATTTCACTAATTGGACTTTCTATCATATTTGATAATTATTGTTGATAAATGCTTTACTTTAGAAGTTATTCATTCTGTGAATTTTGATGACTACAACATCTATGAAATTCTGAATCTGTAAAATTGAAAAGACTTATGGAAATGCTCAGGGAACAAATTTGTAATATTTGTTTCTCTAAAGAACTAAATAAGACAAATATGAGACACACCACACCAAACCATGCCCAAAAGATGGAGGAAAGTGAAAGCAAATGGAAGGTTCTTCACCAATTTTTCAGTGTTTTCTCCAGATTCAAGAAAAAGACCCATGCATAGCAGTACCATAGACATGACAAAACAAAGGATCCTTCAATCTGGAAAAAACATTGCCTCAGTGGCACACATACCAAAACCATGGGCTAGCTGAAACTTGCATTCTGATTTTTTCCTTGCTACATATTTGAACTTTTTATACATTTCTGGTCGGATTACTAATTAAACAAATACAAGTCTTTAAACCCAATTGGGAGGTTTAACAAAAAAAACCAAAAAAAAAAACAGACTAATGTCTACTTGAAATCAGGTCAAAGTTTTCACCATGAAACTAGTAAATTTTCAACAATGGTGACTCCATTAGCTTACAACCAAATCATACCTGGTCACCATTTTTAGCTTGCTGCTGTTTGGAAAACTCCTGTGCTTTCTTCATTAGTTCTTTCTGTTCCGCAGAAATAGGAAGTTTCAGGGGTTCCTGGTAAGGGAACAACAGGCATAAAGGCTAGCCACACAAGATAATCATACAAGGGAGACAACTCTGAATATCATGTTTCCTACAGCAATTAAAATCCTTCAGATCATAAATTACAATAATGTCACTGAAAGAAAAATGTGTGTCCTTTAAGCAGGCCACGGAAGATCATAAGGATTATACTGTACAATGACCTTTTCTTTGTGTGATACATCCAGACTTAAAATCAAAGTTACACAAATGTTTGCCTCAAATGATTACATGTAACAACCTAGGCAACATTGGACATATTTTGTATCTTACTCAATACTTTTACCCTGTAGTAGGAAAAGCTGAAGTGGCCTGATTACAATTGACAGCACACCTCTGGCAGGTAATAATTAAGTATTTGTATTCAAATAACTAACACAAAGAGAAAAACTGCAGGAATGAAATGTTGTAAGAAGTTAGATCACTACTGATTAGAAGAAATGTACAGTATTGACCATCAGGCTGTGTAGCTGTAATCATTCAGGGGATGACAGATTTAAAAGAGGATTATGCGACAAATATACAAGAATAAGAGACAGTATAGGAAAGAGAGATATGTTACAAATCATCTTATCTACAGATAAAGCTTAACTTCACAAGATTTGTGACTTTGTCCTTAATTATTTTTTACATTAACATGTTACTTTCATTTGACATAAAAATGAAAGACTACATATAAGACATACACATATCACCTCTGACCTCTGACCTAGATATAACCGCTGATCTCTGACTTAGATATTAACTTCTGATCTCTGACAGATAAAGCTACACTTAGATTTGTCTACTAATGTAAAGAGGTTAAAAAATCATTATAATAAAATCACCACTCTCCTCTTAGTGAGGACAAATTACAAGAAGGATACTTCTATCAGTTCCCTATCAATCTATTTTTAGAGGGATACTTCTATCAGCTCCCTATCAATCTATCTTTAGAAGGATACTTCTATCAGCTCCCTATCAATCTATATTTAGAAGGATATTTCTATCAGCTCCCTATCAATCTATCTTTAGAAGGATACTTCTATCAGCTCCCTATCAATCTATTTTTAGAAGGATACTTCTATCAGCTCCCTATCAATCTATCTTTAGAAGGATATTCCTACCAACTCCCTATCAAGCTAATTTTAGAGGGCACTTCTATCAACTCCTAATCAAACTATTTTTAGAAGGATATTGCTATTAACATAGATTTTATTGGTTATTTCAAATGTATTGGCATGCTTTGAGTAGTAACACTGGGATAATCCCTGTAAGGTTGACTGAACAGAGACTGGTTAGTCATACAAAATAATGTGTACTTATTTAAATGTACAAGGAACAACTTCAAAAGATTTATTATACATTGTAGATATTAGTAAGAAATCATATTTAAACAATACCCAAAACCTGTTAATATTATAAGAACTAAGATGAAAATGGGTAGGAAATAGAAAAAAATTGATATCAAGTGTAAGACAGGTCCTGATGATCTTGTGTTGGCAAAACCTTAATTAAGATAAAAAAAGCAGTAACCATGGAAACACCAAATAAACAATCCAGTAACCATGGAAACACCAACCACCAGAAACATTTCACCACTGGCATGTTCTAAACCAAAACCAACTAATTTTTCTCTTGTTATATACCTAGGGACCGGGATAACAACACATTTAATACACTCACAGCCAGAGGTGGGCTTATTAGAAAATGAGGAGACACTATTTATTGGTAGTTCTACTGAGAAGAATTACTAAGAGATATGTATTGAAGAGGGAGGCTTATTACCACACATGGGCTTATTGATGAATTTCATATGGTAAGTAACATGTTTTACAATTAATTTGTAACTGACATTGAAATAAAGGGTGGAAAGAGAATGTGCCTTAGGCCATTCTTCTGATTGTTTTATTATAAGTAATGTAGATAAATTAAGTCATTTTCATAAAGGAATCTATCAATTTCACAAACATCAGTGAGTTTTTCTATTATTCATATAACATTGTTTCATATATAACTGGAATAAGTAATACCTAGTAAAACTTACTCCAAGCCTCCAGACATCTTACAATTTACAGTAAATGTTTTAAAATCAAAGAAGATAAATATCATAATAAAACAGAAAATCAACTCCTACATTACTGTTTGTTATCTTATACTATTCTATATCTTCCTGACTAAAAGCAAGTTTTATTGTAACATTTTATCTTTGACACCTAAAATTACCTATCTAACATAATACACACGATGCACCATGTCCAGTCTGTGGGGCCATGTACCAGGGATCTCGTAAATAGAACAAGTCTGTGGGGTCATGTACCAGGGGTCTTCAAAGTAAAACAAGTCTGTGGGGCCATGTACCAGGGGTCTTCAATGTAAAACAAGTCTGGGGCTATGTACCAGGGGTCTTCAATGTAAAACAAGTCTGCGGGGCCATGTACCAGGGATCTCCAAAGTAGAACAAGTCTGTGGGGTCATGTACCAGGGGTCTTCAATGTAAAACAAGTCTGTGGGGTCATGTACCAGGGGTCTTCAATGTAAAACAAGTCTGCGGGGCCATGTACCAGGGATCTCCAAAGTAGAACAAGTCTGTGGGGTCATGTACCAGGGGTCTTCCATGTAAAACAAGTCTGCGGGGCCATGTACCAGGGATCTCCAAAGTAGAACAAGTCTGTGGGGTCATGTACCAGGGGTCTTCAATGTAAAACAAGTCTGTGGGGTCATGTACCAGGGGTCTTCAATGTAAAACAAGTCTGCGGGGCCATGTACCAGGGGTCTTCAAAGTAAAACAAGTCTGTGGGGCCATGTACCAGGGGTCTCCAAAGTAGAACAAGTCTGTGGGGCCATGTACCAGGGGTCTGCAAAGTAACTTAAGTCTGTGGGGCCATGTACCAGGGGTCTCAAAAGTAACACAAGTCTGCGGGGCCATGTACCAGGGGTCTCAAAAGTAAAACATGTCTGTGGGGCTATGTACCAGGGGTCTGCAAAGTAACTTAAGTCTGTGGGGCCATGTACCGGGGGTTTCCAAAGTAACTTAAATCTTTGGGGCCATGTACCAGGGGTTTCCAACGTAAAACATGTCTGCGAGGCCATGTACCAGGGGTTCCAAAGTAACTAAAGTCTGTGGGGCCATGTACCAGGGGTTTCCAAAGTAACTTAAGTCTGTGGGGCCATGTACCACGGGTCGCCAAAGTAAAACAAGTCTGCGGGGCCATGTACCAGGGGTTCCAAAGTAAAGTCAAAAGCCCACAAAAAAGTATATACTTACATCTGGTTTCTTATCTTTTGAACTCTCACGTCTTCTTTTTTTCTCATCTGGACTGTAAATCATTTAAAGCAAATTGGTGAATTCAACTTTCATCATTCACATAGTAATCGATTCACAATGAAATATTCTCTGATGGATTGAAACAACAGCATTTTTGGATCACCTTACGGCTACTTCTACAAAGAATACTACCAGTATTTCACTCTGTAAGTAGATAAGACAAAATAAAGGATTAGTGATATTTATGTCTTTTCTGGTTCCTTAATGATTTTTTCATTAACATTTTAACTTCATTTGATATAAAAATGAAAGGTCACATTTAAGACATAGACATATCACCTCTGACCTGTGACCTAGATATTAACTTCTGATCTCTGACCAAGATATTAACCTCTGATCCCTACTTAGATATTAACCAGTAATCCCTGACCTAAATATCAACCAGTGATTACTGACCTAGATATCAACTTCTTATCTATGACCTAAATATTAACTTCTGATCTCTGACCAAGATATTAACCTCTGATCCCTACCTAGATATAACTTTTTATCTCTGACCTAGATATTAACCAGTAATCCCTGACCTAGATATCAACCAGTGATTACTGACCTAGATATTAACTTCTTATCTCTGACCTAGATAATAACTTATCTCTGACCTAGATAGTAACTTCTTATCTCTGACCTAGATAGTAACTTCTTGTCTCCGACCTAAATATTAACTTCTTATCTCTGACCTAGATATTAACACTTAATTACTGACCTTGACATTAACCTCTGATCTGTGACCTAGATATTAACCTCTGATCTGTGACCTAGATACTTACCTATGATCTATGATCATGGCCTAGATAATTAGCCTAGAATCTCTAAACTAATAAAATTGATTTAACATGCTTTGAGTTAAACAGAGATTGGATTCTAATACAATATTACTTCTTTTTCAAATGCTACAAATAACAAATATCATCTTCATCCATTTTTCTAAAAATGTTTCTAATAGTAATAAACCATTACAGATTTGACCATGGACTCCAGATGCTAACCTCTGGTCTGTGTTGACCGATTCGGAGTTATTTCTACTACGTGCCCCTCCCTCTTCTTGGTCAGGCTGGTCCAGAATGGTTAGATCAAAGTCTGTCCCACCTTCCATCTTTATTACCGCTAGAAAGGTAAGTTCATGAAAACAGGAATTATAAAGTTGCAGTCAGTTAACCTTGATTTTCATCGAATAACTGATTGATTCAATACAGCTCAACACAACAAATATGTCACTCATTTAATACAGCTCAACACAACAAATATGTCACTCATTCAATACAGCTCCACACAACAAATAAGTCATTGATTCAATACAGCTCAACACAACAAATAAGTCACCGATTCAATACAGCTCAACACAACAAATAAGTCATTGATTCAATACAGCTCAACACAACAAATAAGTCATTGATTCAATCCAGCTCCACACATCAAATAAGTCATTGATTCAATACACCTCAACACAACAAATAAGTCATTGCTTAAATACAGCTATTTAGCTCAACACAACAAATAAGTCACTCATTCAATACAGCTCAACACAACAAATAAGTCACTCATTCAATACAGCTCAACACAACAAATAAGTCACCGATTCAATACAGCTCAACACAACAAATAAGTCATTGATTCAATACAGCTCCACACAACAAATAAGTCACTGTTTCAATACAGCTCCACACATCAAATAAGTCATTGATTCAATCCAGCTCCACACATCAAATAAGTCATTGATTCAATCCAGCTCCACACATCAAATAAGTCATTGATTCAATACAGCTCAACACATGAAATAAGTCATTGTTTTAATACAGCTCCACACAACAAAGAATTTAACATTTTATACATCTTAAATACCAGACAGTGCTGATAAGCCATCTCTACACATGACATGCCTATAACATTCTCACAGACACTTAGACTTTAAACCACACAAAACTGAAGGATACTCAATTTAAAAATGTTTTGTGCATCAAAACTTATTGTATCTTAGATATATGATTTGCAATGAAATGATTAAGATGTATAGGTTGTGATGGCTTTCACAGCTTTGCAAAACACAAAAACACTTTACAAAAATTATACCTTATTATATAGGAACGATACTGTCTACAGTCATAGATAAAACCAAAAAAACATTTTGGTTTCTAAATCAGTACCATCACTTTTAACTTCATTAAATTTTTTGGTTTATCTCATAACATGTTTCGGTAAAAGAGATTTAGAGCATAATTAGGAAAGCAAAAAGCAACTGACAGTATAGGACAAGAGGGTGATTAGGAGTATCTAAGGTGAAACATAAAGAGAGATTATTGAGAAAATAAAGGAAGAAAGATTTAGATTTATTTCAGGAAAATCAAATTACATCCAAACAAATCTATCACTTATTGTTCTGAATTGTTCAGTATGCTTTATAATCTGAATTATCACACATGTCTTATATAAAACATTCTCCAATACATTCCATCTGTCTATGTAAGCTATATATCTGCATCTTTATTACCTGCATCGAGAAGTTTGACAATGTGATCCGACCTGTCTGTGTCGCATGTGACCCCGTCTAGTCGCCCAGCTTGTAAGAGCTCTGTAAATACCCGACATCGCTGACGCAAGGACATTTTTATTTCCTCCTGGCGTTTTTCACACTCTTCTGGATGGTATTTAGTTTTAAACCTGTAAATCATTCAATGAAATTCTTAAAAATCAAGAACAAAATTATCCAATTTCTATTTTCGACAACTGCTAACAAAGCTTATCAAATAAATGCATCAAATTGTTCTTCATGAATTTTCTCCAATAAGAAACAAAACCAGAAGTAAATTTTCAAAATCAATTAAAACTTTTTCTGATTATTCCATCATTTTGATTCATCGGATAAGAAGTAAAATTGATAACAGTAAACATTTTTATATGCATGAATGAAATCATTCAAGCATTTTCTTGTGACTACATTTTCTTTATTTTATTACTTAGTGGAATTACTTCATTACTATACAAATGTTGAAATGGGATTCATGTGAATCACACAGGGATGAAATGTTATTATTTATTTGTGTTCCCGGATAATAAAGTTTTTATGACATTGCATACCCTAATTAAAATTTGGCTGTTTCTTTGAAAAGAAATTTCATGAATGACTGAACAAATCTTCAAAATAAATTGTAACATTACACTGCAATTTGTATGAAGCATGTGAAAACATCAAAAGTTTAAAAAAAATAGATATTTTTCACCATTTTTTGTTTGCTTCCTGATGGGAATGGTCCAACTTTAAAGATATAAAATTTATGAATTCTTCTGATTATTCATATTAAAAAAATGTAACTGTTTTCTTATTTTTATTTCCTTCTTAAATTTTCTCCATCAATTTTCATTCCAAAATCTTAAATTTGAATATTTTTTTTCTCTTTTTTTTCAACAAAGGGAAGATAACTCCCAATTACCTGCTTTGGCCATTTTGATTGACAGTTGCAGATCAATCGCCACGCCTCCACTTTAACACAAACCCTTTATTACCACAATTTTGCCAAAGGGAGTGTAGCATCTCCACTGGCAAACATCCGACGACCTATCATCTAACCCTAAAACTTTTTAATTCCTATACTGCATTGTGCGCAGTGCCCTAACAATTCTACGCGAGTCTTCATCAAAATCTTGAGATGAAAATTAAGCCCACCGATGAATCTTGAGGACAATACCCTTCTGGCAGAAGAATTGTCTGTCCTTTCCTTGTAAAAAATGTCATCATGAAATTACAAAAAGCACATGCAACATAGAACTGATGAAATCAAATACTTTACTCTCACACAACCATAAAAGACTGTTTCATTCAGTCATTTAATGGCAGTGACTCCGAGAATAGGAAGGTTTTAATTTGAAGCTGTGTTGACCTACAATGTACTTTCTTATAATACAAACACATAAGACATATTTCTTAAAGTAATGCCTGATCTTTGTGCTTAAAATGGTACCACTTTTATCTTTGTAGAAACGTAACTATGTCCATGACAGGATTATGTAGTGAAATGTTTTGACTTTTCTTAGCAGTTCATGGAAATTTGGAGTAGTCTGTACTCCTAGAAAATAAACATATTTTCAATTTCTTCACCTTTGCATTAATTACGTATATTTTTTTGCATGTTGTGGTGGTACCAAAATTTAAGCAGGAGTGGAAAGTTGTACAAACAGGCACTCACATTATCATACTTCATAATACAATTCACACAAGCATTAAACAAAATTGTGACAAAAACAGATCTAATCAAAAATTTCCAGATCATCAAAACACACACACATCACGCACAGCCTTCAATACATTTGTTTCAAAATCGAAAGTTGAAGAGAAAATTGCAGTTTATACATTTATCAGGATTCAGCCTTCTTTCAAACAATTGTTTAAATTATCTCTCATTACTTGTATGGGATTGAAAATGAACCATTATCAGTATATTACAAATCACCATAATAACTTATTGTAAAAGGTGAATGTTTTGAAAATGTTACATGTTCCATCTATGTAATGATGCATTTTGTTAAATCTTCAAATTTCATTTTGAATTAGTAAACATTCCGTTGTGGTATGGGGATTTGACTGTTAGACTGACATTTAATATTAATCAAATGTTTCTTTAAAAAAGGAGTTTTATCCCCATTGTCCAAATGTGAGTATGCGACTAATGATTTTCTATATATTGCAACTGTGACCTTGGCCATACAGGGTTTCTGGGGATTCTTTGGTGACGAATATGTGCCTAATTCCCATTTGGACTTATTTCATAATATGGCCTCATTTCCAAAGTATATAGTTTAATCCTTAACATTTCCTTTCTGACTGATCAATTTTTTGCTAAAATGAGATAAATGAAAGATCTATTCCAAACATTGTGGATGAATACCCTGTCATTAATCCTTAAAACATTCTTCAACTTTGATTGAAATCCCTAAAGACAAAATGATATTGAGAGGAAAAATAACAGGGACCTGAGAAAGGATGGACATTGTGTTATACTCCAGCTTACTTCTTTCTAACTTAACAATTGTTATCATCTGACATGGTACACTTTCAATATCCTAGATGTGTTAAGACTCCTTACCATTCTTCTTCCTTGTGTGCAAGGAAAAACTCGTGTGTTTGCTGTCGTTTGAAGTCCATTTTATACTCATTATACTTCTTGATAGCTTCCTGGTCACTGATACTATCATCCTGTTGTGACAGGAACTGTTTGAATGACATCATTGATGGCTGTGTTGGTAGATCTGTGTCCCTTGAGACATAATACACAGCAAGATTAGACAAATCAATTCAGAGAATTTAAAGAAGTTTCAACCTACAAGCTATTTATGTAAAACATCTGTCCCACTCCAGCACTCCAATTGTTGTTCAGGGTTACCACCAATACAATTTAAATGATAATTTGCTTAGAAGCAGTAGATAGGAAACTAAACAAAGGAAGAGGTGATTTATTTTTGAGTTGTGTGGTCATATAGATGTTTTATTGAAAAGCTTTAACTAATTACACTGAATCTTGTGTGATTTGTATCCTATTTGATAATAGAACCACAAGAATAAAACTTGAAAATAAGTTTTAAAAGAAGTTGCTTTAAAAAACACCAGGACAGGAAACTTAAACAAATTTGAACATCCCATATGCATGCAATATTCTAATTTCTAATATTAACACTGGTTCAATGCTGTATAAGTAAAGTATAAAACATCCTAATATTTCTTTTTGTAATTAAATTAATGTACCATGACAATACTTAAAAGGGAAATAACAATAAACAAATGGGAAACATGAAAACAAATAAATTCAGGTGAGAATGAAAGGACATGGGATTAACAGAATCCAACCTGAAACATTTCAAATGAAACGTCGTAAAATAATACCTGTTGTGGCCGGATTGGTTAAAACTACCTCCTCCTTGTTGCTGTGGGGGCATATTGCTGCCCATCTCATGACCATGTCCCCAGCTCTGTGGAGGCATACCCCCTCCGTGCATCGGCCGCCCACCATAGCCGCCACCTCCCATATCATACTGAGGATATCCTCCTCCTGCTCCTCCTCCCCCACTGCCACCATCTTCCCTGCAAATACAGATATATATTTTTTTCCTTAAAAATATAAGAGAGTATGAAAAGTATTCATACAATCATCAGAAAGTTTTATCCAAAAAAAAAACTTGAAGAAAATAAACTGGAAATTTAAACTTTCTTTGAGTTCCTGAAACATTTTTTATTCTTTGCCTCCTCCTGGCAGGAAATCTTCATCTTTGTTTTTCAAATATATTTTCCATTTATGTACTACATACTCTTCAATTACTTACTTGTACCAATTTTCACGCCTCATACGTTTCGCATTTGGGGGACTCATTTCTCTTCTTCCACTAGGACTATAACCTCGCTCTCGTCTCCTGGAATCATATTCTCGGTAATTGTCACGTCTATCACGTCCCCCACTACGACTATTCCACATTTCCCTGGATCTACCAGCAGATCTACAAAGGAATTATCAAAAAAAAAATTTGAAAACCATAATAATAATAAATAAAAGACAGATACATGCTTAACATTTTGGCAGAAAATATACTTATTTGCAGAAAAAAATACTTATGGTAAGTTGTTTTCAAATTCCTTGATATTATACCAGGTAACTAAAGCATTCAATTATAATATGATAACTTTACACATGCACATATGCCATAAACATTTTGAAAAGCTAAATGTGTTAAAGCAGTAAAAATGACCAATTGCCTATCAAATGTTGCTAGCCTTGGTCTTTTGGTACCTGTCTAGTTCCCATATCTCTCTGGGTTCACGACGTCGATCATCACCACGGCGCTCATAATCATTCCTTTCTCTTCGAAACTTATCTCTTCCTTTCCTTCTGTCATATTCTTCATCGCTATCACCCATTCTTTAGCTTCTGAAAACAATAGCAAATGAAGATAATTTCATTGGTTTTTGTGATGAAAAAAAAACCCCGATATGTAAATATTTGAACTGCAGGTGCTATAACCTACATAATGTACACCTAACTCACTTATTATAGCAAACCAGTGTTCCACACTTGTTTGTCTATTGCTCTATCGATTCTTAGGGAGGCTTCAATAATATTAGAGTACTATAAACTGGGAGAAAACAAATTTATTTGGTTTTACATTTGTATGATCATACGTAGTTATTGTTCCATTACAAGCTTTTCATGCTTTATTATAATCCATCTAACAACAAAATACTAACAGTCCAATCTAGTATGACTGATATTGGATAAGTGTAACCATGCATTCTATTGTATAGTACTTCTCCTACTGCAGGGTATTGTGGAAGCTGTTCATTTCTTTAAGGGTCATTTTATAATCAGGTCTTCAATTACTTAAGTAGCTGTTGGCTACCACAATAAATGTCACGTCGGATGTCTGTTGCATGCTAATGGAATAACATATTTTGCCCAAGAATCTTCCGAAGCTAAAGAAACCAGCCCGGTCGGGATATGTCAATTCTCATACCTCAGATTTTGACCCAAAATAGTGTTTCTATGTTGATCTACTGATAGCTATGACAATACAAAATACTACACTACACAATAAAAACGAATATAAACTAGTTTCCATTTTCTAATATGAACGGTGAAAATTTTTGTTGGGATTTCCGACATCTGCCATTGAAACTATGACGTTTGGGTGGGGGGAATCTGAAACACATATACCAGCAAAATAAGGTAAATATGACAATAATTTGATTTACTTGGTATATATACCAACTTCACCTAACAATATTCTCATTTACCAACATGAAATAACCAGTGCAATATCGCCCTTGTTTGCAGCTGGGAAGAACAACATATGGCGCGTTCCCCTGAAAAAAGGCAGTACGTCGCCGGAGAAGTGATCGAAAGACGTGGATTGCAAAACTAAATTACCGACGTTGAAATACCAATATAACTGCTATAGTGTAATGTCGCGATCAAAAGATGCAATCATGAATTGGTAAGTTGTCTAAATGTCAAAACAAACAAGAGTCTACAACAAAAAGAAGACTCTTACAATTCCACAGCGCGCCCCGGATATAGATGTCGCTCTAGTCTCAGGACGATACTAAGTTTTGATCGCGGATCCGGAGGTAATATTGTCCGGAATGAACACCCCTGTTAGCTACTCAGTAGAGAGTTTGAAATCTTGTAGATAATTGATATTTCATTGTCATTAAAGGAATGGATATTGTTTTTGGTACTTGGAAATACTAGAAAATGTACGTGCTTTTATAGTTTAAGGGCAACGCTCCAATGAAATACAAAACGGAAAAGTTTGGTAGAAATCACCGAGATGTTTGATAATATTATGAACAACCCGTATGTAAACAAAGGATAATGTAAACGAATTTAATTTGGCGAATTCAAATTAAATCATATTAGTGTGAGTTACATATATCCAAAGTAAGTTATTATTTCAAACTTCAGCGTTTGTATATTAACTGAGAAGATAACTTAAAACTTGAAGGACAAAATTATATCAAAATGAAACAATAACAGAAACGAATTATAGAAAGTTTACCGTGTCAAAAATATACAAAAAAAAAACAGCTAAATTAATAGGATGTTTACCGTATCAAAAATATAACAACAACAGCAACAAATTAATAGGATGTTTACCGTATCAAAAATATAACTACAACAACAGTAACAAATTAATAGGATGTTTACCGTGTCAAAAATATAACAACAACAGTAACAAATTAATAGGATGTTTACCTATCAAAAATATAACAAAAAAAAAACTGTAATAAATTAATAGGATGTTTACCGTGTCAAAAATATAGCAAACAACAGTAAAAAATTAATAGGATATTTACCGTGTCAAAAATATAACAACAACAGTAACAAATTAATAGGATGTTTACCGTATCAAAAATATAACAACAACAGTAACAAATTAATAGGATGTTTACCGTATTAAAAATATAACAACAACAGTAACAAATTAATAGGATGTTTACCGTATCAAAAATATAACAACAACAGTAACAAATTAATAGGATGTTTACCATATCAAAAATTTAACTACAAAAACAGTAACAAGTTAATAGGATGTTTACCATATCAAAAATATAACAACAACAGTCACAAATTAATAGGATGTTTACCGTATCAAAAAACTTTATTTTATTTTAAACTGTATAACATTTCAGCAATACAAACAGTATACATAAGGATTCGAAAACAAGTACAAAGTACTTATATTAATCCGTCTCCTGAATTTACGAAGCATCGATCGGACGGCACTGACTAATATTATACATTATATATTGAGCATATTGGTACATAATTAGGGAAATGAAGATATTTGGGAAGAAAGGGGGGAGGGGGGATGCAAAGGAGTTGACAGAAAAGTTGAAGGAGTTAAAGAATGAAGCAATGCAAATATGCTGCATTATGGAGGGGAACCGAGCTGAAATCAAACTTAAATTTGGACACACATGGTTGACCGTACATGTCAAGTAAGTCTATAATACATCAGTGGTAAGTAAACACAATTTTACAAAAACGACCCGTGAGTAATTGGAGAATCAGTACTGTACCACAGTCAACTGTAATCTCACATAGTACAAATATCATTACACAGAACTATGACAATATGCATATAAAATTTTACATACGTAATCTACATTGAAATGCCATGCCGAACAAGTGCACTGGCAGTTAGTTATTACTATGTGCATACTTATAGACATTTGATAAAACTCAAGGTGAGAACTTAGAACCGTTTCGACTGGTAGATAAAAAATTGGACACAGTCAAAAATATTTTCGTTATATCTAACTGGCATAACGGGATTTCCATACAGGAGGAGATTCGTGTCGTACTCCGGAGGAAGGTTTCTGAAGCATTGATCTCTTAATAGTTGATATTTTGGACAGAAGAGGAGGAAATGCTCGGTTGTTTCGGCAGATAGATTACAAGTACACATGGGACTATCAATTAAGTTACGTATATATAAATGACTGTGCAGAGAGCTGCAGTTCATCCTTAATCGCGCGTGGTGAATTTGGGCGAATCTACTTCTGCAGTAGTAATAATAAGGTGGAACAGGATGACTACCAGCGTTTAAGAACTTTTTGAGGTTAGTAAGAGAAGGGTTTGGCTTTATATCATCGGGAAGTGCATTCCACAGGTCAATAGAGGAGGGGAAGAAAGAATCTTTGTAAAGCTTTGTTCTACAGTTTATTTGACAGAAGTTGTTTGCGTTTCTAGTATTGTGAGAGTGGAGATCAGAATGACGAGCAGGAAGTGTGTTGGTGAGATAGGAGGGGGACTGACCATGGACAATCTTATGAAATTGTACGATCTTGTGATTACTTCTTCGAACTGAAAGAGGGTCCCAGCCAGATTCTTGGTAAATTCGGTCGTGACTAGTTAGCTTAGTAGCACCAGTTACAATTCTAGCCGCTTCAAGCTGTATATTTTCTAATAACTGACTTTGTGCAATCGTTAAATTGTCCCATATTACATCACCATACTCTAAGATGGGTCGAAGGAAAGTAAAATACATTTTTTGTAGAGTCTTTCTGTCAATACTGAATTTGAATTTCCTAAGAATACCAAGTTTCTTCGATGCTTTGCTGATTATAGAATGCACATGGTCAGCCCACCCTCCATTATCAGATAAAAAGACGCCAAGGTGCTTATGACAGGAGACTTCTGTTAATAGGATGTTATTCATAGACAAGGAGGGATGAATTGGTTTATTATTTTTCTTACTTACAGTCATTGTTACAGTTTTGTTAGGGTTGAAATTGACAAGCCAACTTTTGGACCAATCATGAACCTTTTTTAGGTTATCATTCAAAATGTTAGCACTTAAATCCGGTAAATCCACTATAACGTAGAGAGACGTATCGTCAGCAAATAATTTTACAAAACAATTTATATTTTCGACAATGTCATTAATAAAAATCAAAAACAATAATGGACCTAAGATAGACCCCTGTGGTACCCCGGCAGTAATAGATGCTAAATCAGACATTTTACCGTTAATAACAACTCGTTGAGAACGATTATGCAAATAATTTGTGAACCAAGCCAGTAGATTACCTGTAATTCCAAAGTTTTCGAGTTTAGAAAGAAGACCTCTATGCCACACTCGGTCGAAAGCTTTGCTAATATCGCAGAAAACCATTCTTATTTCTTTACCTTTATCTAAAGCAGAATATATATCATTAGAAATAGATATAAGTTGGTTCACAGTGGAATCACCGGATCTAAAGCCAGACTGATAAGGAAACAATAGAGACTTATCAATTAAATAATTATAAACATATTTGTATACGCATCTTTCCATCATTTTGCCAATAATAGATAATAAAGAAATTGGACGATAGTTGGTTAGTACGGATGCGTCTTCTTTTTTGAACACAGGTGTGACATTAGCCCTCTTCCATAGAGACGGGAACATACAATCAGCAAGAGAGCAGTTGAACAGTGAAAGGAGAGGATAACTAAGAATATCAGCTGCTTCTTTGATTAATCGAGAATTTATAAGATCTGGCCCAACAGCTTTTTTACAGTCAAGATGCTGTATAACATCAAGAACGTCTTTTCGAGATATGATAATATCAGGAAGTGAATGATTATGGGGTTTATATAGATGAGGGGGGTCAACACCTGTGTCATCAATAGTAGCTTGTGAGGTAAAGTAAGTGTTGAAGGCATTGGCCTTTTCTTGGTCGTCCTGCGTTATGTCATTGTTAATCAAGATCGGAGGTATGTTGCTTTTACTACAAGTATTAGACATAAAATGATTTACAATTTTCCACCATTCCTTAGCACTTATATTATCATTATTTTTAAGTTTGTCACAAAGATTGTTAAAATATTTTCTTTTGGAGTTACGAATAGCATTTACACAATTATTTCGAATTTTC